ATCTGGCTCTTGGGCCCTGGTTGTTGGCCCAATCTGTGGCTAAGAAGAAATGTTTGTGGCCGTACTTAGTCCGCTGATGGCCCTGTTCCATTAGAGGCCTGGCAGGGTGCTGTCAGGCAGTGGTGGACCAGAGAGGCAGGGCCTCAGGCAGGTGGGGAACTATAAAGATCCAGGTGGGCTCTTTGTCCTCACTGGGATGAGGTGAAGGCCTGAAATCCAGCAACACTACACATCTGCAGAGCCAGTAGTGCTCAGCCTCAACACGCTACCCCAAGAGAGATCCTCAGAGAATTCTGTCAGGCAAAAAGTCCTAGGGTATTGTGAGCCTGGGGAGCTCACTGGGAAGTCTCTGGTTGTGAGTGGCCTACTTGGCCACACCTTTTCCTGGTCCCTAGTGCCTTGTGGCTAGAAGTCAAGCCCAGGGGTCAGGTGAATCTGAAGATTAGCAGCCAATATGAAGCCAAGGGCTAGGGGTCAGTCCATGGGTGAGGTTAAAGGTCTGTCTCTGAGTAGGTAGAGGTCAGGATGGAGCCAGAGTTTGGCAAGCGCTTGCAGTCAGGAAATGGAGTTACTTTCCATGTAAATCAAACTGTCCCACCCAATTATTTTCAAACGCATAGGCATCAGCAGCCTAAAACTAGTGGACTTCTAGGGAGATGTCCACCTCCCCCATTTCCAGCTGTGGGCCCTGCCCAGACCTAAATTTGGGAGTGAGGTTGTCCAGAGCCCCATGGGCAGCACTCTCCTGCAGTGTTTTTGAGTGCAGGTGCATGCTGGGGTGAGCAGGGTCCCATGGGGGTGTGTGCATGCTTGCTTGACTGTCACCCCCTTCTACCACCACCTCTCCAGGAATCAGTAAGAAATTCCTTCTTTTAACACAAATTGATTCTTCCTTCTAAAAGAACTCAAGATATGTAGAATAAAGTCCTCAATAAGACTGAAAACTTCTAACAGGGAAAAACTCAGTCTATATCATGACAGAAGAATAATGTTCACCTTGGCTTTATCAAGACCTTCCATATCTGGATTTGGTCCTCACGTCCCTTGTGTCACCCGTTTTATGGGAAAAGGCACTGAGGTGTGGAGAGGTGACATGATGCACTCACGCTGGGTGCCATAATAAGCCCTTGACATTCCAGAGACCCCCTGTAGGGGCCCTCCTTGGATCACACACTCAGGAGATAAGGTGACAAGCTGTGAACAGCTAGGGAGATTATAGGCACATAGCTGGAACATGGAATCCAGCGACGGCTCAGTCTTCTTTTCTTGGCAATGCTAGGTTGTTTCTCTTGCAGATCCAGTAGCCTTGGTCCAAAAAGATCTATTCATTCATTCATTCACTCAACAAGCTGGTTGCCACACTTAGCACAGAGGCTAGCATAAAAGAAATGCCTAGTCCACATGTGGTAAAGAATTAAGATGTACAAATGGGGCTGCCAGCCCCTCCTTTGTGACCTGGACCCAGTGGTATGCTGGTGAATGTTTTATAAGCAACTGTCTGAGAGGGGAAAAAACATGGATTGTAGTCTTGTCAACTTTCATGTTGTAAGTACTCTCACTGTGGCTGGTTTCAAGTTACCAACAGTGATATCCGTGAATGCAGAATTAGGAAAAGAGACAGTATCATCTCTGGAGTGCTGGAGAGACCCAGCACACCACTCTGTCCCTGAGCTGAGCTCCTGTCCCTGGCTCCCAAGTTCCCTACTGACACCTTGTATTTGATTTCCCTTTTTCTCAGCATCGTCTGGCTGCTATGCAAGTGCCCACAGCCAGCCTCTGCCCTTCTCCTGATTGTGATTCCTAGGCATCCAACTGTGTACCGGACATGGGGGACAGCAGGACTGAATGCATCTGGAAATTTCCATGGTGCTGGCCATGCAGGAGTGCCCTAGGCCTACAGGAGCATCTGGGAGTCTGGGTGTCTGACCGTGACCAGGCTGGGTTTGTGTGAACCATGCAGGAACAAGGGCGTGTATGTGTGTATGTGCATTCCAGTACCCAGTTCTGTGTCTGCCTGTGTTGTTAGCAAAGTTTCCTGATTGAGCTACCAGGTACAAAGAGGGAGTAGGCCCTGCCTTTGTTTAGGGATGTGACCGGCCCATAGATAAGGACGATAACATCCATGATATGCAGACCTTTGAACCCAGGAACCTCTCTCACTTACAAGTTCTGATTCAATGGGTCAGGGAGCTGAGGTTCTGCATTCCTGACACACTCGTGAGGGATGCCAGTGTTGTGGCCTGAGACCATAATTCGATCCAAGTAACAAAGTTGTCAGGGCTTGCAAGATCCTGCCTGTAGCCTGGGCCCCAGAGCTTCAGAGACATGGGCTCTCCCTCCAGCCACTGTCCTCAGATGTGTTCCTTATCTCATCAAGTTTCTCCAGAAGTTTAGCTCAGTTCTCTCACTCCCTGCTCACACCTCACCTGGACTTACCTACCTTGGGCTTTTAAGACAGTTGTTTTCTACTGGGAATTGAACCCAGGGCCTCACGTGTGCTAGGCAAGTGCTCTACCACTGAGCTACATCCCCAGTGCTTTTTAAGTTTTATTTTGACATAGGGTCTTGCTAGCTGCCCAAGGTGACTTCAGACTTATGATCCTCCTACTTCAACTCGTGAGTAGCTGGGGTTACAGGATTGGGCCACCATGCCCACCTCATCTAAGGAACTCTTAAAAGTATCTAGCTTCGGGCAACCCATTTGGGACTCCTCCTGTCTCTCAGGAGCTATTCTTATTCCCTATTCATATTCCCCAATAAATTTTCCTACTCTTAAATAAATAAATACAAGCAAAAAAAAAAAAAAAAAGAAACACTATGAAAAAAAGCATCTAGCTTCACTGAATACTCTTATCAAGGTCTTCAGGAAATCTTTCCCTATTTGCCTTTAACTGTTGCTTCTCTTCCCTTCCTTTCTCCTTTTTGCTCTTTTCCAGCCCTGCATGACAATGTCTCCCAAATGCACATCTCCAACTCAGATTTTCTCCCTGACCTCCAGATCACCTATCATCTGGCTGCTTGGAATAGTCTTAGATCCAGCTCCAAACTGTGCACTGTCCCCTTGCCAGCCTGTCCCTTCTCCAGTATTTTTCATTTCACCATCCATGTCTTCCTTTGAACCAGAGAATACCACCTTCCTAAGCCCCCATATCCCATCTAATCCAGTCAGCTCTGCTGATTTTAACTACTGGGCCTCAAATGTCTCCACTTCTGTCTCAAGCCCCACAGCCACCACCATTACCAGTTGGGCTTCTTGTAGTCCGCTCTTCCCAGGTAGCTGGAGGAGCATCTCAAAATGCAAATCAAAGCTGAATGTGGTGGCACACACCTATAATCCCAGTGTCCTGGAAAGCTGAGGGAGGAGGATTGCAACTTCATGCCCAGCCTGGGGAACCTAGCAATTTAGCAAGATCTTATCTCAATTTAAAAAAAAAAGTTTAAAAAAATTCTTAAGGGCTGGGGTTTTAGTTCAGTGGTAGAACATTTGCTTAACATGTCTGAAACCCTGGGTTCAATCTCTAGTACCACCCCCTCAAAAGCAAATTGAGTCATGCTGTACCCCTAACCTGCCACTTTAAACCATTCAATATTTGCTACTGCCCTTCACACAAAACTAAGTCTAATGGAGGGTCCTGGGGGCTCAGCTGTTTCCAGCTGTCCCCTTCTCAGCCCTCAGTATTGTTTGTAACCCAAAAGTCACTTCTATGATTATCTGATGATGTTCAGCTCATCCACCGATCTGTGGGTCCCCAGGGCAGGGACAGTGTCTCTAGATTACTGATGTTCCTCACCTAGCACCTGGCCAGCGCCTGGCCCCAGAAAGCATCACAGAGCCTACTGATTTCTACAAAGCAACGTCATTTTTTAGCTAAGCTGGGTCTGTGGGGCTGAGCTTTAGATGACACTAAGGAATTGCTGTAGATTTAGTTAGACATGATAATGGGGTTGTAATGGTATCTTTGGAAATGTCTTTATCTGCTGGAGAGACATATTGAAGAGTTTATAGGTGAAACAATATGATGTCTGGAATTTGCTTCAAAGGACTCCAGCCAAAAGTAAATAAATAAACTAAATAAGCATTCAGAGAAGGAACAAAGAAATAAGTAAACCCTCTTCTGCTTGTCTGTTCCTGTTGACAGCTGCAGAGCCTGCAAGGATGCTGGCTGTCCCAGAGATGGGCCTGCAGGGGCTGTACATCGGTAAGACCCTGCCACTGCCCTGACCACCACCCTACTCCCCTCCACTGGGGCCCACCAGCATGCTGTGGCTCCTGAGAGCTGTTCTGGACATGCATGCTTGCATGTGCAGTGTGGTCTGTGTGCTCAGGATCTTGAATGTAGGTGTGTGGACACTTGCAGGGAGGGGCTTGTGCACAGATCTGTGTATTAAGTGTGTGTACAGAAGTGTGTATATGTAGAGAGGGTCTGCATGCACAGGGTGGATCTGTTCACAAGAGTGGGTGTGTGTACATGCATGTGTGTAGGCAGGGTCTATGTGCACAGGACTATATCCATATACATGTGTTTTGTGCAGGGGTGTGTGCACAGGATCCTGGTTGAGTGTGTGTCTGTGAGAAAGTCTCTTCCCAGGACCCATGGGGGATATGGTGTACAGGAAGACCATGTGTCTACAACCTATGTGCACATGCACGTCCGGCCTGGCTTGGCCTGGCCTGAGAGCAGCTCTGGGCCTGGCAGGGATGGGAGGCCACCAGGCTGGAGGGACACTCCTCAGGAAGTCCGTTCACAAAGACCTGGTGGGTTGGCCCTTCCTTCCTGCCTCCCTTCCCAGGCTCAAGCCACAGCAACACAGCCGCTCAAGCTGCAGCTGATGGCAGGGCTGAGCCTGTGCTGGCTGAGTGGTGAGGGGAGCCCTCAGAATGTGACCACTGGGTGCCTGCCCTGCCAGCTCCCGGACAGACTACAGCATTGTCCGAGTGCTTACCAAAACCCCCTTTATTCTCAGCCCCTTGAACATGTTCCTGGGTTACCCCAAGCCCAACAAGGGCTGGGGACCTGCCTAGGGTCACATATTAGCTGAGGTGTATGTGTATTGGGGTGTAAGTAACCAGACTTCCCAATGCTTGGACATCCTGGACTCAGAGCTGGGGTGAGGGAGGCACTGCCCACCTCCTCCTGATCCTCCCCAGGCAGCCAGATGGGCCTGTCTGTGGCCCTTGTGGGGGTGGGGGAGGGGAGGCTCCATGAAGGTCTGATTAGAACCATGTGGCTCATCTTTACAGTAGAGGGGAGCAGCCCCACTCCTGGGCCAGCTGGCCCACCTCCCAGCCACTTGTATGTGTAACTTACTCTCCCCATGTCTTCTCCACCCTCCATTCCCACCCTAGGAGCTCACTTGCCCCATCTGTCCCACCCTCCTGTCCCTGGACTCAGTCTCGCCAGCACACAATGCTTCTCTGTCTCCTCCCCTCCCCCACTGTGTGTCTGAGGGGTGCTGGGGTGGCAGTGAGCCAGGGCAAGGTTGCCTCAAACTGGTCAGGGGCCCTCAGTCCATGCCCTGCCCCCACCTCAGCATGTCTTTCCTACCCTGCCAGTCCCCCTACTCCAGCAGGACTGATGGGGAATGTCCTGGAGCCAGCCCTGGAGCCCTGCTGCCCTGATCATGCCATGGTGACTTGCGCCCTCTTCTCCACAGGCTCCAGCCCAGAGTGCTCCCCAGTGCCCAGCCCGCCCGGCTCCCCAAGGATCCAGGAAAGCTGCAGCATTGCCCCCCTCACACCCTCACAGTCACCAGTAAACCTGGATGAGGGATTGGGGCGGGTGGCCTGGGTGGATACGGAGGAGGGCTGTGCCTGGCAGGGGGTGGCTGGACCTGGGCTGGGAAGGAGAAAAGGGCAGGAGTAGGGACATGCCACCATGCTTCTTGCCCTTGCACACTCAAGTCCCATGCCCACCTGAAGGATTAGCCTTAGGTGGCTTTGATGGTAGGGTGACAATTCTACTAAGAAGGTAAGCCCCATATAACTAACTCCCCACCCTCCCTGCTGCAGAATGATACCCTGGGGCCATGGTGACTGGCCTGGCTGGGGCAGGTGGCAGGGTGAGCACGTGGTTTTTCTAGGTCCTTAGAGTCCTGAGGCCTCCCAGAGTTGCTTCCCCTCCTGCCAATGACAGCCTGCCTTAATTCAAGCCATATCTGGGGGAAGGGAGGAGTGCTGTGAAGAGTACTTGGAAACTACTGGCTTGATGTTTCCAGGACACACACACACACACACACACACACACACACACACACACACACACACGCATGCTCCCCGGGCCACTCCACTGGGATGGTCTTGCCCCCCTGATCCACCCTGGACACTGTTGTTCTTAGGAAGCCCAGGCCTGGCCTGGGAGAAGGCAGAGATCACTCAGCCTGTACAAGGGCCTCTCCATCTGCCACAAAATCAGACAGTCTGGTTTGTGTCACTCTGGCCACAGAGAGCAGGGGGTAAAATACACACAGGTCCATGTGCTATAAAGCTGCCCAAAGGAGCACAATTGCTCCCAGCTGGGCCCAGGCTGGAGGACACCATGAAGTTGGGGGTGGGAGGGGTGGGCGAGGCAGTGGTGGGCAGAGAATTAAAAGCACAAAAGCAACTGTTAGAGCCCAAAACTGCCTGGGTGACCTGGAGGGCAAGGGTTTCTGAGCAGTTGGACTCTCCTGGACTCAGGCTGGAGCCTGAGAGGGGTGGGGAATGGTGCCCTCCTGGCAGTGGGCCATTTCCTGCTGGCTGCACACTGACTCCAGGTCTTGGATTTGCAGAAGCCAGAAGCCCGAGTTCCCCAGCAGGCCTCCTTCTCTGTGGTGGTTGCCATTGACTTTGGCACCACATCCAGCGGCTATGCCTTCAGCTTTGCCAGTGACCCAGAGTCCATCCACATGATGAGGTGACGGTGGCTGGGCTGGAAGATTTGGGGTGGGACAGGTCTGCTACTGGAAATAGTCACAGAGGCCTGGGGTCTCCTCAGAGCCCCTTCCATCCCCAGTCTGGGGCTCCCCACTGGGACAAAAGGTTGGAGGATGGGCCCTAGGTCTGGGTCCCCAGCCTCAATTGGAGTGCTCCCTCCCTCTGTAGAAAAGCTCAGGCTTTATTTTTCTTTGTGATGCTGTGGCTTGAACCCAGGGCCTCAAGCTTGCTAGGCAAGTGCTCTACTACTGAGTTACACCCCCACCCCATGGTTTTATTTATTTTAAATATTTGTTGAAATATAACAAACATGCAATAAAATACACAGATCTTTCTGGGGAGTTACACACAGACACACACACATATGTGTGCATATATGTGTTTAAAAATTAAAATGGGCTATCATACAACTTGCTTTTTTATTTTTTAAGTACAGAATGCTTCATAAGGGTCCTCAGCCAAGGGACAGGAGCCTTGCTAATGCCTATATTGTTCCAATTTTAGTATGTGTACTGCCAAAGGGAGCACATAACTTGGTTTATTTCAAATTTGCAATGCTATTTGGTAGATGTTTTGTGTCCAGACTTACACAGCTGCCACTTTCTTTTGACAGTTGCCTCGTATTCCTCAGTACAGATGTGTCATAGTGTATCCCCTCCCCTCTTATTTAGGGTTTGTTTTCCTCTCATTTTTCAGAAAAAGTGCTACAGCTAATGTCCTCTGAAAATTTATGCTGGGATCTCTGTAGGGTAGATTTCTAGAGGCAGATTTGTAGTTGTGACATGTCAAATGAAGAACAAAGAAATAAAGGTCTAAAGACTGACAAGTCTTAGACTTTAGACTGACAGAATTGCTATGAAGAGATGTTTGAAAACTTCCATTCTGATGTTGGGTTTTGCTTGAACTCTCCTGTTTCAGTCCATTTCTTGTTACTATAATGAAACACCTGATACAGGCTACTTTATAAAGATAAGAAGTTTACTCTGACTCACAGTTCTGCAGGTCAAGGGGCTACACCTGATGATGACCTTCTTGTGGGTAGAATCCCATGGTGATCCAGGGCGTCACATGACAAGAGACAGGAAACATGTGTATGTGTATGTGTCTGTGTCTGTCTAATCTCTCCCTCTTTTTTAAAAAAAATTCTTTTAAAATTTCAATTTTTATCAGTACATGGTTGCTGGTGATGTAGCTCAGTGGCACCGTGCCTACCTGGCAAGTGTAAGGTCCTGAGGTCGATCCCTGGTACCGGAAAAAATACATATATATCAGTACATGTTCGCAGTATATAATGATTACATTCATTGTGAGGAGTTGGTACATGTGCATTACACATCTCAGTTCTTATTATTTCCCTTCTCCACCCCTCCCTCCTCCCTCTATCTCTTGGTCCCCTTTCCATTTGTGAAAGATCTCTCTCCCTGTTTCCTACTACCCATATTTTATCTTGCTTTTTATTTATATTTTGGGTTTCTCATATAAGAAAAACAATTTGATATTTAAGCCTGTGTGTCTGATTTATTTCGCTTAAAATTATGGTCTCAAGGTGCATCTATTTTCCTACAAATGACTCAAATTTATCCTTGATAGCTGAGTAGCATTGCATTGTGTTTAAATACTATTCATCTGTTTATGGACACATAGGCCACTTCCAAGCTTCAGCTAGTATGAGTCATGCTGCTGTAAACATAGCTATTTACAGATAACTGTAATATGATGTCTTTAACTTGGGACCTCCCTCTTCTTATAAAGCTACCAGAATTCAATAATATAGGCTTCAACTTAATGACCTTATTTTAGTCCTAATCACTTTCCAAATGCCTCACTTCTAAACACTATAAATGGATTGTTTCTACCTTTTTAATACTTTGCAATGGGGATTAAATTTCCACATATGAAGACTTGGGGGCACTCAAACCATATGTATCCAAACTGCAATAACTCCCCTCTGGATCTCAAGACCCTGATTCTTTGAATGTGTCTTACTGTGGATGCAGCCAGGAGGTGAAGCTACCAAAAGTCCCCAAACTCTCAGCCCATACTGGGATAGGAGATACAAGAGGCCTTACAAGGCCTCAGAGGCTGAGTGGAAGGGGAATAGACAGAGACAGAGGTCACTGCCCCAAAGATACATGGCACTTGAACTTCAGGAGCTTGGGTTGATTTTTCCTTTCCTTGCAACCTCCACATGACAAGAGGCCACAAAGGTTTGGACACTCAACCCTCTTGGAACTGCAGGGCGTTCCAAACGGCATGATCCTCAGCACACACAGCTGAGCCCATGCCAGCCCCGTGGTGGGACCAGGGACACATGAAGGGACACTTTCTCTGTCATATGGAAGTGACAATCACAGGAAATCAGTGGAGAACATCTTGGCCTCCTCCCAATCCTTTCTTTCCACCAGCCATCAAGCCGATTATTTCAATGTCTCTCCAAAGTCTCTGGAATACCATTCCTTTTCTCTCCATGGCCACCAACTTGCCTTTGTTCAGCCTTTCCCTCTCATCTGGACCTTGGCAGTAGCCTCCTTCCTAGTTTACCTTCTCTGTCATCTCTTCCCTCCAGTCTATTCCATATGAAGACCAAGCAGCCTTCCTTTCCAAAGGCAGGTGTGGTCCTGTGTCTTCACTCTTCTGCTTAAAATCCACCAAAGGGCCAGGGATTTAGCTCCATGGTGCTGCTTCTGCCTCACAAGCACAAGGTCCTGAGTTCAATCCCCAGGACCAGAAAAAATAAAATAAAATAAAATCTACCAAATTAGAATACTGTTATAGCATTTGATGTTCTTCATCCTCTGACCTTGACATTCCAGTATTTTCTCCTCTATGTATTGAGCCAGTCTAGAGCTGGCTTCCCCTGCTCTTTCACACCTCTGACCTTTTGCACTTGCTGTTCCTCTGGCTGAATTCCCAGTCCCTTCTCCCAAAGGGCTGCAGTGGTGAACCTGGTCTGAAGAGGTCCAGGCATCTGAGAAGGCAAAGGAAGGAGGAGGGAAGAATTTGCCAGGCTATGAAATAAGCGAGAGTTCTGGGCAGATGTCAGAACCCTGCAGACAAGGAGGTTCTGAATCTCATTTAGGTGTTGGGGACCTGCCAGAGGGGCAGTCTTCTTGGGTGTAGTTGCTGAGGTGGGTCAGACAGAAGTGGTCATGAAAGACGCTGAAAGAGCTTGGCCTTAGGAGACAGCTTCAAGGAGGGCAAAGTGGGGAGGGCTTCTGCTAGGTTCCTGGAGAGACACATCAGGAGGCCGGACCAGGCCAGTGGATGATGGCTTGCTTCTTCAAGGAGAGGTCAAATAGTGCCCCTCCGTGGAAGGAACAGGGCTGAGATGGGACCAGTGGTCCCATGGACAGAAAGGCTAGCATTTATGAAAATTCAAGGAGTGCCATTTGCTTGTCACAAGAACCCTAAAAGGTAGGTACTACTATTGTTACCACTGTATAGATGAAAAGACTGAGCCTCAGGGAGGTTGTATCCTACCCAAGGTCACACAGCTGGTCCCAGACCCAGCATCTATCTTCATGAAGGGATGGTTGTTGCTGACCCCACTTCCCTGTATCTCCGTAGGAAATGGGAGGGTGGGGATCCTGGCGTGGCCCACCAGAAGACCCCTACCTGCCTGCTGCTGACCCCGGAGGGTACCTTTCACAGTTTTGGCTACACTGCTCGTGATTACTACCATGACCTGGACCCCGAGGAGGCCCGGGACTGGCTCTACTTTGAGAAGTTCAAGATGAAGATCCATAGTGCCACTGTGAGCAATGTTCGGGCAGGGCTCCCTCTAGGGAGCCGGGGCCAGGTTGGGCAAGACCAGGGTTAGTGGAGGGCGGGGCACAACCAAGAGTTGAAAGGGCCCAATGGAGGCATGGCTTGGAGGCGTGGCTACAGACAGAAGACCAAGAGTCAGGCGGAGCTCAAAAGTAATGGGAAGCAGCTAAAATGGGAGGGACCCAGAATAAGGATGGGTTAGAGGAGAGGCGGGGCTAAGGAGAGGCACTAGGGGGTGGGGGACTGAAAATGTGAGATTGGGCAAAAGAGGAGAAGCTCCAGGAGATGAGGTGATTTTAAGGAGGTCATCAGGAAATGGGGGCAGAGCTGTGGCCTTCTCTAAAGACACTCTGTGTCCCTGCCAGGATCTCACCTTGAAGACCCAGCTAGAGGCGGTAAATGGAAAGAAGATGCCAGCTCTGGAAGTGTTCGCCCATGCCCTACGCTTCTTCAAGGAGCATGCCCTACAGGTGTGCCACTGCCCGTCCCTGCCTACTGGGGCAGTGATTCACAGGCCTTCTTACTCCTTTCCTCTCCCTCACCCCACTCCCTGTCCATGAGATGGGTAGTCATGGCCAAGGGTAATCTTCACACCCCCCCCACCCCTCTGGTGGAACTTCCCCCAGCCATACAGGGGGAGGGAAGAGGTTCTTCCAACGCAGCTGGGAAGCCCTTCCTGAGATCGATTAGTTCTTCCAGCTCCCCTCTGGGCTGAAGATGCCCCAACCCATCTGTTCCCTCTGTTTTAGTTACTTTTCTTGTTGCTAAGACAAAATACCCAACACCCAAAAGTTAAGGGAGGAAAGATTTATTTAGCTCACAATTTGCAGAGGTTTCAGTCCATAATCAGTTGGCTCCAAGGCAAGGTGGCATGGCAGGCAGGAATTGCAGAAGGAAACAGTTCACGGCAGGCAGAAGGTACCAAAGCAACCAAGCAAGATATCACAGTTCTTCCTATCCCTTATCTTATCCAGGCTACTCGATGCAGGTAGCACTCACACCCTTACTGCTAGTGCCCTTGATCCTAGTATTGAACAGCAAATCAATTCCAGCATCACACACTCTAGATCCAGCCACCTCAGAAAAAGTCCCACCTGTGACTGCATGAGGCTTTGGAGGAACATCTAGACACAAGCCATAACACCTCCCTGCCCTCTCCTGCTGCAGGAGCTGAGGGAGCAGTGCCCGTCACTGCCAGAAAAGGATACTGTGCGCTGGGTGTTGACAGTGCCTGCCATCTGGAAACAGCCAGCCAAGCAGTTCATGCGGGAGGCCACCTACCTGGTGAGTACACACGGGTGAGGGCCCTGGGGGTGGCCATACCCTCATCTCCCACCACCTACAGACCATAAAGACCTCCAGCCTTCCCCTGCTGGAATTTTGGAGGATTGCTGCCACCAAGAGTGGAAGTGGGTCTTGTCAGATGAACAAGAGGCACAGTTCAGACTAGTGAGACAACATCGTAAGCAGGCTTTCCTAGAGGCACAGCTCAACATGCAGCCTTATGAGCATGGTCTATTGAAGATGGGCTTTCAGGAGAAAGGGGAAGGAGGAAGCAAGACAGGAGAGACAGCTGAGCAAGATGTGGTCCCTCAGAGTGTAGCATCAGCCTAGTCCCTCAGGGAGCCTCTGAAGGAGAACTGAGTAGCACTGAGTTGGCACAGTAAGGCAAGGGTCTGTCTCACCCTGCTACTGGTTGTAGGGGGAGTGGGAGGAATACCTGTCCAAGTGAGGTGGTCCCCCACAGCTGAGGGGGCAGCTGTGAGCAATGGGCTGAGCACTGAGGATACCCATTTTGACTGGCATCAGTGCTTTAAGGAGACCTTCACCTCTGCCCGCACCATTGTGGGTTCTTAAACAGAGGGAAAGGATTCTGGCCAATGTGTGCTGGTCTTCCTACTCAAGATGCATGAAGGTCTGGAGGAAGAGGGGCGGGGCTCAGGCACTACCCACTCCATTGGAGCTAGAAAGAAGGCACAGCCTCAGAGAGCAAGAGTCATTGCTTGGCCCTGCCCCTGGGGCCTTTGCAGACAGCGCCTAAGACAGTAGTGGTGAGCCTATGGCATGCATGCTGCAGTGGGCTGTTTGTATCATTAGAAATTCTAAAAGGTTCGCCATCACTGTCCTAGGACATCTCCAGCCTGCCTGTGGCCCCGCTGGGGTTTCCAGGGCCCCCAACACTTCTATACCTATGGGCCATGACTCAGGCATGACCCAGGGGCCAGGTCTGTATAGTATATTGCTTGTTTGTAAAAGGAGCTGGCCCTGTGTAGAGTGGCATCCCCCTGTAGAGCCCAGGGTAGAAGCAGAGCTGTCCCAGCCAGAACATATGACACCCACCTAGTGTCCCCAGCCTGTTTACTTGCACTGCTTCTCCCCGCACTGTTCTCTGCTCTCAGCTCCAGAAGGGCTGGCCGTGGGCAGGAAGTCCCTATCACCACCTATCTCCCTCTGCCCCACCTGGTCAGACTCCAGGAAACCCTACAAACCCTGAAGTACTTCCCAAAGGGATCCCCTGCTCTGGTTCAGGAAATACTAGTTCTCAAGAGTGTCCCCCCCTTCACCCCACCCTGCAACTGTACTGTCTTGGTGCCTAGAATGTCACTGTTTCCTTTCTGCTATAGCAGATTCTCAGGAACACAGTTCTTGTGGGAGTGGGGCGGCCTGTGGCCAGTGTCTGCCACCAGCCTGGTGAGCCCAATGGAGCCCCCCTGACATCTCCTCTGATGAACTACACCCCCACACTGTTCCAGTCTCTGCTAACACAGCAGTCAGTGCATAGCTGGCCAGCCCTGCTCCTGTGAGGGGAACTTGCTGCAGCCCTATCATCTCTTCCTGCTGTCAACCCTTTGGCCCCTTTGGCCATGCCATGGCCCTCCCCTGCCTGGGACACAGGGCAGCTGTGAGGCTGCTCCAAATTTGCACAGCATGAAGGGGCCTGAGAGACCTAGCATGGGTGGCGTGTGACAAGTGACAGGGGAGGAGGTGGGAGCCCCCAGGCCCTGGGGTGCCGTCTTAGATTTGACAACCTCTGGTGCTGTCCACTACCTACCCCAGGCTGGCCTGGTGTCTCGAGAGAATGCAGAACAGCTACTCATCGCTCTGGAGCCTGAGGCCGCCTCTGTCTACTGCCGGAAGCTGCGGCTGCACCAGCTCATGGACCTGAGTAGCAGAGCCCCAAGTGGTGGGCGACTGGGCGAGCGCCGCTCCATCGACTCCAGCTTCCGGCAGGGTGAGTTGCCCCCAGGGATGCTGCCCAGGGCCCCAGGGACACTGCCCAGAGTGGGGCTTGGAGGCAGTTGACCTTGCAGGGTCGAGAGGCACCAGGGCCAGAGGCTCAGCCAAGTCAATGATGCAGGGGACAGAGCCCCATCTGAGGGGGCCAGCAACATCCCTGGTGGAGGAAGGCATAGCCCTGCTCAGGGGGGACCTTGGGAGGGGGGACACAACACAGTCTTGATCTGAGATGCCCCATCTTAGGGCAGAGATCTCATCTTGTCTAGGGGACCCCCACCTGAGGGTAGGGGAGACTCAGTCTACCCTAGGGTGAGGTGCTCAGGTGGGCACTGACAAAGGAGGAAGTCAGGCTGCACTCCCATCTTTCCTTAAACAGTGGCCGTATCAGCTGTTGTCCCCCACTAGCCCCATCCCTCCTGTCCCCACCAGCCCCATGCTCTTGCTGCCAGGACCAGGCATAGAGGGCAAAGACAGTGGTGAACAACCTTGACTGTCTTCCCAAATGCCATTTCCCATAGCAGGCAAGAGCCCCAAAACCTGAGCTCCTCTAGGATACCTGGGGCTTCCCCTACCCCACCCAGCTCCTCCAAACCCTCCTAAGCCTGATCTTGCTGAGGCCTGATCTCTCCTGGGTTAAGGGAAGATCCTGTGTCCAGAAATACCTCCTCTCAACTGTTAGATACAATGCCCAGGTTTTGGGATGACTGTTGTCTTCTTAACTGGCATAGGTGTTTCAGGGGCACTAGCTGCTCCAGGTGCTCTGAGGTGGCTTGAGGATGGGGTTTGAATGTGGTAGTTCCTGACCTCACTGTCCTGCTCACCCCAACTCCAGCCCGTGAGCAGCTGCGAAGGTCCCGCCACAGCCGCACATTCCTGGTGGAGTCGGGCGTGGGAGAGCTGTGGGCAGAGATGCAAGCAGGTGGGAGACAGGGGGTGGAGGGATTTTTTTCCAACCCTGCTGGGAACCGTATACCGATGGGGCACACTGCCTAAGCCCACTCCTTCCTCTTCCATCGCAGTATCTAACCTGGAAGTCCCCTCACTGTCACCCGCATTCCCACCTCACTCAGAGCCGCGCCCCTAACTCCTATTCTCTTGAGGGATTCTCTGGGCACCGGGGTGGCTTGCAGAACCTCTGGAGCCATTTCTCTTCCCAAATGCCACAACTCTGTTTGGTGGCCTGAGGATCAAGCACCCAAAGGCGCGCGCGCACACACACACACACACACACACACACACACACACACACAGAGTTTAAGAGGGTTGGAGGCTGCACAAGGCCAGAGAGGGCTCAGGGCTGAGTTTGAGGCAGGCCCTGAGTGCCTGAGCTGGCCGCTACAGGGGATCGCTACATGGTGGCAGACTGTGGGGGAGGCACTGTGGACCTGACAGTGCACCAGCTGGAACAGCCCCATGGCACCCTGAAGGAGCTCTACAAGGCATCCGGTGAGTAGCTACCTTACTATCCGGCCTGCTCCAGCCCTGCAGCGCCCTCTGGCGGCTCAGTGCCCGCTGACGCCCTCTGGGCTTCCCGCCCCACTGCAGGAGGCCCCTATGGCGCGGTGGGCGTGGACTTGGCCTTTGAGCAGTTACTCTGCCGCATCTTCGGAGAGGACTTCATCGCCACTTTCAAAAAGCAAAGGCCAGCAGCTTGGGTGGATCTGACCATCGCCTTCGAGGCCCGCAAACGCACAGCGGGCCCGCACCGAGCGGGGCCGCTCAATATCTCGCTGCCTTTCTCCTTCATTGACTTCTACCGAAAGCAGCGAGGCCACAACGTGGAGACGGCCTTGCGCAGGAGCAGGTGGGCCCAGGGCCGGGTTCAGGCCAGGTTTGGGGATGGGGAATGTCAGGGGAAGGGAGGGTCACCTAGGGGGCGGTGGAGGTCTGTCCAATCGGTTACACACACACACACACACACACACACACACACACACACGCACACACACCACATGGGAGGGGGTGGGATGGGTGAATGTGCCCAAGGGGCAGATCCACCCTGGAATCCGCACTTGAACCTAAGCAAGGAGAATCATGGGATGTGGATCTTCTCCCGGCCATACCAGACCACCCTGCCAATGCTTCTTGGGTACTCTGCACTGAGGAAAGGGGAAGCTCCTCTTCTGCAACCTCATGCCTAGGACCGGAGCAAGCTGTGCAGAGGGGTGGGGATAAGGATCAACGTCTACCTAGTCCACCCTGCTCATGCGGTGTGCAGTCAGCTAAGAGCACACCTGCCTGGAGGCAAGGGTAGGAAATGAGGATCACAGATCCCAAGCTGCAGCAAATAGCTGGGCTTTGACCTATTGACCTGTGTCCCCTTTGCCACCTACAGTGTGAACTTCGTGAAGTGGTCCTCGCAAGGGATGCTTCGGATGTCTTGTGAGGCCATGAACGAGCTCTTTCAGCCCACGGTCAGTGGGATCATCCAGCACATAGGTGAGTGCCTGGGCTCAGGTTCTCCATTCACCCCACTAGGGAATAATTCCCCTTGTCAGGACCAGAAACAGCCACACATCCGTCCACTGGGAAGAGACCCACCATCACCTGAAACACCTGGAGCATGCAGGGTGGCTGTGATTAAGAGCTACAAGGATAACTGGCAGTCTTGCCAGGTTACAAAACCTCTAGTGCCTCAGTTTCCCCATTAAATGAGGGTTATTGTACTGGGTTCCCCCAAATGCTATCACTTGGGTAAATGAGCAGACTTGTCTAGTGGGCATGCTGTCTTGCTTAGGCGGTTGATCCCATAAATGCACTCCGTGGGGTGGTGGTAAACAAGGGGCTTGGGGTCTAGCGTTGGTTGTGAGGACTTGGTGGGTGACCCTCAGTGAAAGTAGTTTTCCAATCAGGAGGTAGTTCACATGGCGAGGTGTTAGCTGCCAGAATACAGGTGAGGAGAGGGCAGGCATCAGTCACTCCTTTCTCCTCTCTTTCTCCATGCCCCCACCCCCCTGCCCGCAGAGGCGCTGCTGGCGCGGCCCGAAGTGCAGGGTGTGAAGCTGCTGTTCCTGGTGGGCGGCTTCGCAGAGTCGCCAGTGCTACAGCATGCAGTGCAGGTGGCGCTGGGCGCCCGCGGTCTGCGCGTTGTGGTCCCGCACGACGTCAGCCTCACCATCCTCAAGGGCGCCGTGCTCTTTGGCCAGGCGCCCGGCGTGGTGCGCGTGCGCCGCTCGCCGCTCACCTATGGCGTGGGTGTCCTCAACCGCTTCGTGGAGGGACGTCACCCACCCGACAAGCTGCTCGTGCGCGACGGCCGCCGCTGGTGCACCGACGTCTTCGAGCGCTTCGTGGCCGCCGAGCAGTCAGTGGCCCTAGGCGAAGAGGTGCGGCGAAGCTACTGCCCGGCGCGCCCCGGCCAGCGGCGCGTGCTCATCAACTTGTACTGCTGCGCCGCTGAAGACGCGCTCTTCATCACCGACCCCGGCGTGCGCAAGTGCGGCGCGCTCAGCCTGGAGCTCGAAGCTGCTGAGGGCGGCCCGGACAGCGCCGGCACGGCCCCCGGGCGCCGCGAGATCCGTGCGGCCATGCAGTTTGGCGACACTGAGATTAAGGTCACCGCCGTAGACGTCAGCACCAATCGCTCTGTGCGCGCCGCTATTGACTTTCTTTCCAACTGAGAGGGCCAGAGCAGTGGCAGCCCCCTTAGGCCCGGCCCCGCCCTCTTTCGGAGGCTTGGGAAGCAGGATGAGGACAGAGGACGTGCTATTTCCACGTCAGCGCCCTTTTTGAGCCCTCCAGCCACGGGAGGGTGGGTGGGGACTCATGGAGAATTGGTTTGGGACTGGGCTTTGGTCCACTGACTGGAAGGGCCTCCACCAAGAACCAATGGGTAAGGGAGACTTCCAAGAAGTTTGCAAGAGGGCATCCTCAGCCTGGTGGAGGGCGTGTGACATCAAAGGCAGAGTGCAGCCTTTGAACTGAGGGTTATAAGGCGAGACCAAGTGAGGCAAGCTTCAGGATAGAGGTTGTGTGGGCCCTGAATCTGAAGGGCAGAGCTCAGATTAATGGGCTCCTGTCTTAGGGATGCCAGGCAGCGCATTTGCATGTTGCAGGGAAATGGCAAGTGGACACTAGAGGGACAAGGGTAGTAGTACCTTCCTGGATGTGGTGCTGGCAACCCAAGGATGACTGTTAACTGCAGAAAGTGCAGTGCTTGACTAATGGGAAGGGTATGCTATCTTGGTGAAGGCAGTTTTGAAGGGATTTGGGGGTAGCATGGTGGGGGGCCCCCAAGGGCAGCCTATGAGGGCACCACTTGCATCTCACCCCGGCCATTCAAGGGCAACTGGAGGAGAACAGGTAGGGCAGAGGGAGCACTGGGGAATGTTCACAGCCCTTAGGACATTCCTTAACCACCTGTAGGCCTGTTTCCCCAAATGTGAAATGTCAGACACTTTCCTCCAAAGTGTCAGCCCCACATGCCTGAGAACCCATCCTAAGGTGACAATAAAATGTTTATGGCTCAAGGGGAAGCCATGGCCTGCTGGCATGCACAAGTGGACCCCTTAATAATGGGAGTAGTGTCCTAGGAATGGAGTTAGAGAAAGGAGAAAATGTTTAGCTGCACACAGAGCTGGGAAATGGCCAGGAGGGGGTGCTGCTGCCTCCCTGTCAAGAATCCCAAACAACTCCCCCACTCCTTGACACTCCCTGGCAAGGCAGGAGGCCTCTCTCCATCCAAACTAATTGTTACAGCACCTAGTCCCAAACCAACAGTGTCACTCCTGTGCATACCTTTTCTGGGCTAGGTGCTACAACACCATGCATGCAGTACCCTTGCCTCCTGAAAGAACAAGGTACCTAAGTCCTTTCTCGGCCCATCTGCTAAGGATTAGTGGTTTCGGGACCCCAGAGAAAACACCTACTGGGCTCTGGTATCCACTGGAAGTTTTATTTCTTTAGGCTTCTATCCCAACCAGTCATTTAAAATCCCAGTGTCACAGACCTGAAGGGTAGGGGCTGGGAGCTGCATCTCCCTCCTCCTCACAGGGTCAGCAGGGGAAAGAGCGAGAGGCGGTGGAGGCAGAGCAGCAGCAGTAATGGGGCATCAGCGTCACAAGCCACTCCATCCTTTCCCAGACCCTGGCTGAAGCCCCTGCAGCTTGGGGTGGACAGGAGGTAGGACCCACCCCAGGTCCTCACCCTCCCCTCCCCAAATAGCCCCCTTGGGGCCTTAACCCATTTCTTCCGGCAGGAGACTGAGGCACACAGAGAGGAAGGGGTGGGAGAGAGGACGTCACAGGACAGCCAGGGTGGTGGCACAAATGAAGGCTGAGGTGAGAGGTGAGGGCACAGGTGCAGCCAGGTCTCGGAGGCCATGGACACTCCACCCCAACGCACACCTGGGAGGGGCGAGGAAGCCAGACCATCACACAGCAAGTTGGAGACGAGGCGGGGTTAAGGCTGAGGTGCCAAGGCGGCCAAGGGGCTCAGTCGAAGCCATGCCAGTCGCTGTGCTCCGAGTCGTACTCCAGCTCAGCGCCCACGCACTTGACACCATCCAGCAGCATGGGGGTGCCGTGGTGCCGGTCTGCAAGGGGGGTATGCAAATCAGTGTGCTCGTGCGCCCAGGTCCCACCCACCCTGAGGACTCCCCCAGGGACTGGCTTGGAACAACTTGACAAGAAGGTGAGGACCACAGCTGGGCAACATCCCTCCTCTAGCCAGACCCACACACCCTTTCACTCACCCATGACTCGTGCTTGCACCGTCACACGCACACAAGCACCTGCACCATCCTCACAGGCCAGCAGCATCTCTTCTTTGAGGACTCCTTCCTTGTGCGCAGAGTACTCACACTTGACACTGTAACCTGCCAGAGACAGGGACCATAGATGATCAGCCACCCACATGGCTTCCCAATCCTGCCCCCAGCACTCATGTGTCCCTACCCACGGCAAGTGCTGAGCCTCCTAAAGAAAGGAAATCTAGAGACTTATCCTACAAGGCTGAGCAAACCTCCCAGTCTTCACTGAGCTGACCATGCCTCAGGCCCTGGGCAAGCCCAGCATGGCTCCAGAGGTGAGGCAAGCACAAACTCAGGCTTTCACAAAAAGGACCAGCTCCCTCCACACAAAGGAAGGCAGGTAGAAGGGTGATAGAAAATAAGAGGGGCAAGCAGGGGAGGCTTTGAGCAGATCCAGTGGCAAGAAGCAAGGCAAAGACCTCAGAGGTCTTGCTCAGTCCAATAAAAATGAGAGGTGAGGTGGGAACATGAAACTGAAGCTGGGGCTGCCTCAAAAGTGACACCATAGGCTCTGCCTGGTCAGGGCGGGGCAGGGCCTGCAGCCAGCTGGGTAGGCAGAAGCAGCCTGAAGGCCAGGGGCCCCCAAAGCTCCAGCCAGTGAGGGCAGTATGTTTTCCTGGGGAGGGGGAGGGAGTTCCTCTGTGACTCCTGTCTTAGTGTTCTCTGCTGAGAGAACCATCAAGCAATGTGCAGGTGTAGGCCTGCAGAGAATTCACAGACTTCTGTCCAGGAAAGGAGGCAGGGGCATGCAACAGCCAGGCTGCCACAATGCAAACCCATAAAGAGGTGCCACATCCCTGAATGGGACTGTCCTACTTTCTCCCTTCCACTCACATCCAGGACCTGCTGGAGGAGGGCCAGTCTCCAGCACCCCAGACGGGCACGCACCTTCAGGGATGGGCACAACACTGAGGAGCTTGAGGTGCAAACTGGGGACTGGTGCCTCCCGGATGTCCTTGCTCAGTCTGCGCACCGGGGGCAGAGTGAAGGTAATCTCATACTTGTGCAAGATCTTCAGGAACCCAACCTGCAGCAGGAAGGAAGGATAAAGGGAGAGGCACCTTCACTTACTGCTTGACCCAGGGCCATGTGGGCCTTGCCACCTGATCCTTGTTGGCCCAGCACCTGTTTCCCTGGGAGTCATGCCAGCCGGCCCGTACCCCTAGCTGATGGCTCTAGCCTCTCTGACAGAAGCCCTTTCCCCAAGGGCCACCTAATCCTCAGCATCTGTTTCAGGGGCCCCATGGTCCTCAGGGGCCCACTTTACAGATAAGAACATGGAAGCCAAGAAATGACTAGCTGTAGGCCACGTCGTATAACCAGGGGAAAATGTTCCTTAGACCTCTTAGCCACTCCTGCCATGTGTGGCACCCAACAGTCACCACCCTCAGCCCACAGGGAGGCTCAGAGTCCCATGGTATAGGTCATCCACCTGCTCCCACCGCTAGTAGCACCTGTCAGAGCCAGTAGCCCAGGGACAGAGTCAGGGACATTGGCCCTCCATTACTCATACAGAGACAGCAGACAACACAGACAGCACAGGATGAGGTTGGATAGAATTAGATAAATGGACATCAGGGGCTGGGATGCAGCTCAGCAGTGAGGCTGTAGTAGAGGTTGTGCTTAGCATATGTGAACCCCTGGGTTCAATCCCCAACACTAAAGAAAGCAAAAACAAAAACAAGACACTAGACCAGCTGTGTCAGTCTACAGCTGCCCCAGCCTTATCAACAGCCACTGAACCTCTGCATGCTGGCACCTCATGATGGATGCCTGCCTTTCCACTCAAAGGCTCAGTGCCCAGCAGCCCCTGCCCAAGGAATTCCTGTTGTTCATACATAGTACCTGGCAACAAACACTGTGCCTCTGGCACCAATGTCATCCTTGAAAACTTCTGTGGTGTGAATGATCATAAGTTGGGGTGGTTGCTGAGCGGTGACTGCTGGTCCAGCAGGTGCAAAGGCACATGCTGTATGCCTAGTTTTTGTGGGCACATAGATTCCTGCTCAGTCACAGGGGCTAAAGCGCACCCCTCCCTGTGGGGGTCAGGTTGGGAATGGCAGAATGGAGCTTTTAGCCTTCCAATGGGACCAGGCCAACATTACCACATGATAAACTCAATCCATGCTCTGCTGGTGGAGGGCACACCACCTGCCCACTGTGGCCCAGCTGGACTGCTTGCAGAATTTTCCAGAGGAAATACTCAGAGATGTGCAAACCAATACTCATTAGCACCTCTACATATAACAGTGAGAGAGATAAACAACTGTAACATCCAGGACCAGGAAGCAGCCAAGTCAATGATGATGCACATGGTGGAATACCAGGCAAGTGTAAAAGCTCATGGAAAATTATTTCCTGACATGAGCAGGAGACAGTTCACAACAAAAGCAAGCAAAAAACCAGTGTAACCCGCCAGGTGTGGTGATGCACGCCTGTAATTCTAGCACTCAGGAGGCTGAGGCAGGAGGATCACCACAAGTTCAAGACCAGCCATAGTGAGTTCAAGGCTAGTCTAAACTACATAGCGAAACCCCATCTCAAAAAACAAAACAAAAAGTGTGCCCAATTTTTTAGAAGCCAAATTAAAAAAATAAAGCTGAAATGATACACATCAAAATATTAACCATCAATATGCCTGGATAGTATAACTGTGGCTACTTTTAATTTTTTCTTCATTTTAATTTTTCTTTTACATATTTTTTGCTAGGGATCAAATTTAGGGCCTCATTAAGGCCGGGGATTTAGCTCAGTGGTTTCACTGCCTGCTGCGCAAACGCAAGGACCTGAGTTTGATCCCTGGTACCCAAAAAAAAAATCTAGGGCCTCATACATGCTAGGCAGTTGCTCTACCACTGAGCTACATCCTCAGCACCTTTGTTTTTCTCTGTCTTCCAAATTTTCCCCAACCGACATGAGTGAATTTTGCAATAGGGGAAGGAAACTATTTTTTAAAGTTTTGGTTCATTCCATTTTCCCTTTGGGAAATCTGTTCAGCTAAAAAGAAAGAATGAAGATTTTAGAGTTAGATAGAAATGGATACAAACTTGGGCCTCTTTCTTTCTACACCTCTCCTTCCTTCCCCTCCTCTTCTTCTTCCTCTCCCATATGCCACCCTCCACATTTTCCAGTACTGGGGTTTGAACCCAGGGTCTTCTCATTGAGCTACATCCCCAGCCCTTTTCTATTTTTTATTTTGAGACAGTGTCTCACTGACTCACTACGTTACCCAACCTGGGCTTACACTTGCAATCCTCCTGCCTCAGTCTCCCAGAGTGCTAGGATTATAGGTATTTGCCACTACACCCATCTTAGGTCCCTTTTTGTTTTTTCCGGTACCGGGGATCAAACTCAGGACCTTACGCTTGTAAGGCAGGTATGGTGCCACTGAGCTAAATCCCTGGCCCCTTGGGTCCCTTTTTGAGCAGGCAACAAGCCCCTCTTCAGGGTAGTCTCCTGTCCCCTGATCACAGGTCACTCTACCTCAACTCTGGACCCCTGGCTTACAGACCAACCTGAAGGCCTTAATCCCTGTTCTCTCCATTCTATCCCTTCCAAAAACTCCCTCCTGCCTCTTCCATGTGGAGATGGGACAGTAGTGTCCTAACAGTTGGAGAAAACACACTGGGAGTTGTCTGAGGTATCACTAGGAGAAGAAGAAAGTGCTCTACCAAATAGAACGTGGGGTAAGGGCTCGGGGTTCTGTGACAAAACATGCACAAAAAAAATCCATGTGCAAAGCCCCAGATTCAACCCCTGAATCAAAAAAGAAAATGTGGGGAGATAAAACCACTACAAAGAAAGTAAATAAGCTAGAGATTTGGCAAAGAGTAAAAAGTCACACCTTGTTACCACCATAATTAACTTTCATATCTGTATCATACATACCCCCTTCCATTCTCACGCCAGCTTTATGGATGTGAATCGTCAACTGGAAAGAAGACAAACTGAGGCGACCACCCAAAGTCACAAAGCAACAATTGGTAGGCCTAGACCTGAACCCTGGCCCATGGCACCACAACCTCAACACCAGCCTTTCACTGCTACTGTCTAGGTGAGGCCAACGACAAGGGTTCTTAACTGATTCCCCCATTTTACAGATGGGGAAAGCAAGGCTCAGGAAAGGGCAAAGATGTGCCCATGAACCCAGCCAAGGAAAAGGGACAGACAGGCCTTGGGGGCCAGGAAGAGAGAGGGAAGAGGTGGAGACAGTGAGTTTGATGATGGAGCAGCTATGTACATACCTTGACCAGAAAGCTGCTGTCACTCTCCTGGGTGACCATGACCACTGAGTCGTGCAGCTTCTCATCAAAGTGGACATGGCTGTGGGAGCCTTCTGCGTCATGGCCTGCTGCAAAGCGGATATTCCGGACTCTGGGTTTGTTGCCTGGGAAAAGTAGAAGAATCTAGGGGCTACTGGCTTCTCCCTCACCCAAGAAACCACACTCCCTCATCCCCTCCCTGTCCCCAAATTACCCCTGACAACACCAGCACCCACTGGATGGGCTCCTTTGAGGGCTAGGTGGACAATGGCAATCACAAGGCTTGAAGTTCCCCGTGCCCCTACCTGCCCAGTCCTACACAAAAAGAGCCCCCTCAAGTGTGGGCATGGGGGGGGATTGAGTGACATGAGGCCTCATTCGGAGGGGAGGAGGCTGGCACCAGACAGGGAGACACTGCCCTCCAGACCCTTCCCAAGCCCATCCCCTGCCCCCAGCTCTCCTTCACAGTGCCAAGCTGCTGTCTGTGACAGGCCTGTCAGTGCATGAGGCCCCTGGGATGTGCTGAGGACCCCAGCCAACCTGGGCAGGGGTCTACAACAGCTCTAGGGGAGGACTGAAGAAATTAAAGGGGTCTAGGTGTCACTCAGCCCACCTATGAGAGGCTGGAGCTCACCAATCACTGGCAGTGAAGAAGGAAGAAGCTAGGAGCCTCCCAGCCCCTCTCTATGTGCTCTCCTCCTATTTGGCCCCCATCCTGGCCCTCAGCTGTCCTGGAGCTGGGCTGTCTCTGAGCTTGGTTAGGTTCTCTGAGGCCAGAAAGAGTAGGGGGTTGAGACAAGCAGAGCAGTAGTGTTACAGTTTGGACCCTAAATGTCCCCCAAAGGGTCATGTGTTGCAGGACTGATCATGTGACAGCGCCACTGGGAGGTGATGAAACTTTACAGGTGGTCCTCTAAGTCACTGAGCCCTTGACAGGTATATTGGGACCCCCACCTCTTGTCTCTGTTTCCTTGCTACCATGAGGTGAACAGCTTCTCCACCATGCATCTCTGCCATGATGTTCTGCCTCACCACAAGCCAAACAACAGGGCCTGTTATGGTTTACATCTAGATGCCCCCAAAGCTTTATGTGCTCATAGGTAGAGCTTTTGATTGGATCACGGGGGTGTGATACTCATCAGTGGATTAGTGTACAGTTAAATGTGATTTGGGAGGTACAGACAGGTTGGAAGAGATGGGTCAGTGCACGTGGCCTGAAAGGGTCTACCCCGCCCCCACACACACCTACCCATTACCCATCTCTCTCTGCTTCCTGCTGCCATGCCATGAGCTCTTTCTCCTCTGCCATGTCCCTCTGCTATGTAGCCCTGCCTTGGACCCAGCTGACTATAGACCGAAGCCTCTACAGACTGTGAGAATAAAGCTTTCCTCCTTTAACTTGTGGGTGCGGGTATTTTGTCCTAGTGACAAGGAAAGTAACTAAGACAGGGACCAAGTGACCAATAGCAGAAAACTCTAACACTATGAGCCAAAATAAACCTTTCCTTCTTTTATATTTATTTCTCTCAGGTATTTTGTTACGGAATAGAAAGGTGACTAACACAGCAGGCGGTAGCAAGTTAAAGGCCTGGGATGAATGGACTACTCAGCCTGGGGAGGCCAAGGGCATGATTCCAGACCTCTCTGACCATCTTTTCCCTAGAATTGAGTCCTTGAATATTCAGCAGAGGCCCAGGGACTCCTTGTTGAGCTCCACAGACTAACACTCAAGTCTCACCATGTCTCCCTTGCCTAGAACTCTGAATGAAGTCCAAATTCATTCATTCAACCAATCCTTTGGAGCCTGAATGAAGTCCAGATTCCCTCCACAGTCTGCTGTTCCCTGCCCACCTCCCCAGTCTCAGTACTCATATGCCCCATGTGCCCCCAAGCCCCACCAGTGGAAAAGGGGCTGACACACAGTGACACAGGAGCATACTAGTATCTCTAGAGAACAGCAAGCCAAGGAGCCAGTCAGAGGCCCTGCTAGGGTGTGGGCAAGCCCCCGCCCCAGTACCTGGCACAAATACTGGCATATTCCAAATCTCTCTCTCACACACACACATACACACACACACAGAGCTAAAGCCAGCACCACATGCAACAATGTCCCACCCCCACCCACTGGAAGAGCTGTGTGAACCATGCATAGAAAGGCACTCACCCTTGTTGGCTGCAGCCATGGACGCCCTCCCTGCCACGAGGTGAGACACACAGCTCCTGCCGGACACCGCCGCTCAAGCTCAGCAGCCTCCCATGCTCCAGGATAACAGCAGGAGCCTGAAGGACAGGGGGTGAGGAGGGCAGGTTCCAGATCACCAAGACTCCATGGCCAGCAGAAGACTCCCTTTAGAATGAGCCCTCAGCAGCCCAACTGGGGTCCACCACTCGAAGCACAGGGGCATCTGCCCATGTCAGCAAGAGCCGACGACCCTGCCTGACTTTCTACCGACTGGAGCCCTGCTGGCACATACTGAGCTTCTGGGTACCAAAGTGGCGGCACAGGACTCACATCCCCAGCCCACCTTAGGCTAGCAGGAAGGGCAGCATGGAAAGAAAGGGGACCTTACTGGTATGTTTTATATACCCCATGCAGCTGGGTGCAGGTCAACAGTGTTCGTGGGGGTGGCAATAGGAGGGGACCATATGTGATAAGCTTATCCTTGGAGCTTTCCCTCCTGGTCCTCAGTCAGGGCTGAAGGCAGACCAGAGCCCCCACCAAAGCCACCCATTCAGGCCCTGGCCTGAGCCTGAGGCACAGGGCTGCCTCAATGCAGGAGTCCATGTGAGGTGCCCTAGGAAGCTTGCAAAGGGCTGAGCTGGACCTATCTCAGCATCAAAAAGAATAATAAGCAGAACTGATGGAAACAGATGGAATACATAAAACCAGAGCATCGCAGCGCATACAGAAAAAGAAGGAAAGCAAAACAAATAAACCTGGGCCTCATGTGTCACCACTGACGGTAGCAGTGCCCTAACTCTCTGCTCTAAAAAGTAGCAAATTAAAGGAAAATAATTCAGTCCATCTCTTCCTTTCTTCTAAGTCAACTGCCCTGGTGGTTGACAGAAAGCTCTTCTTTACAGGAGATTTCTTGGTAATAAACAACAAAGGAATGACCAAATGCCAAGTCATTCTGCACCCCCCAAAGCAACAAACGCCAGAAGCAAAAACAGTCTTTGGAGGCTGAACTGTGACAGAAGGTTGATAGGAAGTAGACAGACAGAGGTGCCCAGTGCCACTGACAGATGACGGGGTTTGGTTTTGCTTTTGCGGTACTGTGGATTGAACCCAGGACCTTCACACTGAGCTATACCCTCAGCCCTTTTGTTTGTTTTGTTTTGTTTGAGACAGGATCTCACTACGTAGCCCAGGCTGGCCCTGAACTTGTGGCAGTCCACCTGCCTCAGCCTCAGCCTCAGTTCTGGGATTACACCTTACTGACTCAGGCATGCACCACCACACCTGGCTCCCAGCCCTTTTTAAATTTTGAAATAAGATCTCAATAAGTTGCCTTGCCTGGACTCAAAGGCATGCTCCTCCTACCTCTGCTTCCCAGAATGCTGGGATTATAGGCATATACCACAACCCTAGCTTTATTCTTTATTTTGAGACAGAGTCTCGCTATGTCACTAAACTGCTGAGGCTGGGCTTGAACTTTCGATCCTCCTGCTTCAGCCTCCCACGGTGCTGGGATTTCAGGTGTATTCCACCTAATGACCTGGTGTTCTTAAAGGAACAGCACAATCTTGCAATACATGGATGTGATATCACCTGACCCACACTGGCCCATCCCCTCTTATTGTAAGATGGAACTGATAACACTGATGCCTTCTGATGTGAGGCGGCCCAAAATCTCTGCATCACTGACCAGGGATCCCTGTCGAAGATGCTTAACCTGGATTTCACCAAGCCTCCAACCCTAACTTCTCAATTACTGAAAGGTACAGAGGGTAGCGGAACAAACTAAACAGCTACAAACAAGCAATGAGAAAAACCATGAAGGCAGGGGATGCCATAGGACAGTTGACCTGCTTTTTTCAAACTGTAAGAAAAGAAAGAGGAGAGAGAAGAGGAGAGGGGAGGAGAGGGGAGGGGAGGGGAGGGGAGAGGAGAGGAGAGGAAGAGTATTCTAGACAGAAAATCGGCCATCTACTTAGCCTGTGGACCACTGCCTGTTTTTTGTAAATAAAGTTTTACTGGAGCACAAGTGCTCATTCATTTACATGTTGTCTCTGACAGCTTTTGCACTAAAACAAAACTACTCAGAGTAGTTGTGACAGAGTCCATATGGCCTGCAAAGTCTAAAATATTTACCATCTAGCCCTCTCAGAAAGTTTGCCAACCCCTATTCTAGATTAACACACACTTAAGGAACAAGATGGCAGGAAAATCTAGAGGACAACTGACTTGTTTTGTTTTTGTTTTTTAAATCATATCAGTAGCAAGAAGAAAAAGAAGTGCAGGAGGAGGTTTCTAACTACCTATAAAAAGACCTTCTGGAGATACTGGGAAATGTGAGTGGCCTGAATAGTAAGTGACACGAAAAAATGAGTTTTGTTAGCTGAGGTAATGGGATCACACTATGTAAAGAAGTTATATTCTTAGTTTTTCAGAGAAACACAGTGAAGTGTTTAGAGATAAGTGACCCGTGAGTGACCCTGGCTAGTTCAGAGAATGAAGAGAAACCACAGAGTGGCCTCAGTCAGGGGGTGGGCCTGTCCAGGGCATGACCTCAAGTCCTTTGGATGCTGAGTAACCTTGGAAACAGGGGTGACCTCGCCTCCCTCCCAATTTCCCTATGCCAGATAAGTCCACCCAGGCCCAATCTGCTTCCTGGGCAAGGCGTGAGTCCCAGGGCCCCTGGTAGAAGGCCTAGAGACCTTCCAGAAGAGCAAGCCTTGGCCCTCTGAATGCAGGAGGCCAGCTCCCAGTCCCCGGGATGTAGGGAGGTAAACTGTACTCCCTCCACCTCTGGCCAGAGCTGCTCTGGGGTCAGCTTGTTTCCAGAAAGCTTGGCCTTGGAAAGCAGCCTGCTTCAACCCTCCCACCCCAACCATCTCTGAATCTGTACACTTGGGGCATGTGACAAATGGCCAAATGCAAAGGTACCAGGCCTTCTTCCTCCCCTGCAGAGGCAGCTACACGACATTTATGCAGCCAGGGATCAGTGCCAGCCCAATGTCCACAAGGTCCCCCATCCCCCAGGACACTTCCTAGAGGCCAAGGTGAAACTCTTAACTAGTGGCTGGGGAGCCCTTTTCACAAAAAACTCCCACCCAGTAACTGCAAGGTCTCTCCCTGTCTTCCCAAACACACTACCTGGTCCCTGCCTGCCTTTGCCCAGGCTATCCTCTGTTCCCCCCAGCCACACCTTAGTTGTGGTCTTAACCCCGACATCTCCTTTTTAGAGAAGCACTCCCATTCCACTCCAAATCTCAGGAAAGGCCTGAAACTCTTTAAAGGATCCCTTTCTCACTTTCTGAGACCATTTGTTGACTATCTTCCCTACTTTAAGAGCACAGTGGTTGTGGTTTTGCCAAACCGTATGTTCCTAACACAGCGAATGCATTCAGTTTATACTTGTTGAATGAATGAGTGACCACCCTAAGAAGAGCCTTCCAGGCAGGTTTGGTCAGTACCCCAAATTCCTCAGGATCTCTCTGCCTCACTCTTAACCAAACCCTGTTCCCACCACAGGCCTTCCTCTGGCTTTGCCACATCAGCTGGTTATCTGCCTGTACCGAACTTGAGATGGAAAAGGCTGCTGAGGGCAGGACCTGTGTCTCCTGCAGTGCCTGGAACTCAGGACAGAGCAATCACTCAGGAACTGTTGCAACACTCTGTGAGAACACAGAGTTCGGACGAAAGTGACTGTAGGGGCCCACAGGAGGCTGGGAAAACCAAACCTTCTTTCCCATCAGTGAATCTGCCTGTGACTTGACTATCCCCAGGGAACCAGATTCTCATCCACACAAAATCTTCATTACAAACAGGAAAAGAGGGCATCAGGTCTCCATGCTGCAGTGTGCTCACAGAGACCTGCTTGGCCACCTTGCAACCCTAGCTTGGCCCTGCCTCTAACCTGCTCCTGCACCAACCAAGTCCTCACTATGGTCTAAGACACAGGGCCCCCCAGGGGCAGCAGTCCTGGTTCAAATTCAGGCTCTACCCTTGCTGTCACTTCTCTGACACAAAGGAGTAAGCAGTAGCCTCACCTTCCCATGATTTGGTGCAGCTGTACCTAAAGATCTGTGAAAATGTGTGCACCCCCCACCCTCCCACCATGGGCCTCTGCAGAAGCAAAGCCCCAAGGACCTGGTTTCTAAAGCAACAGCAATTTCACTGGAAGAGAGGCACTTCAGGTCAACCCTGTGAGAGCCAGAAGTGGCCCTCAGAGTAAGCTCTAGGGACGTCAGCTTCTCGGAAAATAGCTCAAGGGTTAGAAGGACCTCTCTCCCACTGCTCTTCCTTTTACTCCCAGGGCAGTGAGGCCTTCAGGGAAGACCACAGAGCAGACTGCTGGGAGCTCCTTGCCCACACCCTCCCCAGCCAGAGGGGCTCAAAAAGGTATTGAAAACATGTATCTTGTCTCCCTCCCTACCTTAGATGGCTGTCAACAAGACAGGGGGAGACCCTTGACAGTCACAGGATGGGGAGGGCTGAAAAGCTAGGACAAGGGCCTTGAGGGCTTCTTTGGTATCTGGTTGCTCTCAGGGAATTTGGGGGGACCCTTCTCTCTGGAAAACAGAGAGCTGCCAGCTCAGGCTCCTCTTGGTTTTGGAGAGGCTGCTTTGAGGCTACTCTACCCAGGTTCTGGCATGTGGACAGGCAGCAGGTTCCTGGTGACCTAGGAACCCAGCATTCTCAGTACCCTAGAATCATACTCCCCAGAGTGTCAGATGCTACTCCAGGCTGCTCTAAAAAGACCCCAACCTCCAAACTGCACAAAGGCCAAGGACATTTGATCCATGGCAAAGCGCTGCTTCCAAATCTGCCACCCTCTTGTCACCCAGTCCACATCACCTCTCTGCCCCAGAGGCAGCCTTCAAACCCCAAGGCATCTCCGGGCCAGCTCCATCCAGCTTCCTCTGCTGTGTGGGTGGGGTTATTTCCTAACCTCTTAGGGGTTTGTTTCTCAATTATTTTTCAATTCCTATTCTTAGCCTGGCCCAAAACCTTTCTCTTTTCGAGGCCAGAAAAACAACCTTCCACTCTTCCTACCACTTCCTCCCCCTACACCCATCCCAGGGCTCAAAACATTCAGTTCAGCAGAAGCCCACTCCGGCCTCTCATTAAAGCCCAAGCCTGTAAAAAGAACACCCACTGAGGCCTCAGGATAGGGCCACACTTGCCAGCTGCCTCCCAGAACCTGATATAGGATTGGGCACACAGCAGGGCCACATACTTACAGCAGGATAAGGCTTGAGGTCAGGTGTAGGAGCAGCCTTGACCTGGCTTCATTTTCTCCTCCTTCCAGCAAAGGTCCAAGGATAGGTATGGGTGTTTTCTCTCTCAGAAACAGTGTATGTGGGTGGATGAAGGTGGAAGGGCCCCCCCCACCCCTCCTGTCTCCCCAGCTAGTGCTGCCCCCCTCTGCCACACACTCCACCTGCCCTCAGCTCAAGAGTGGTGAGTCCTCTATTCTCTAGATGGCCTGCCCTACCAGGCCCCACCCTGACCTATGACAGGTGGCCCCAAGAACCAGAGCTCAATCTGGATTCAGGTGATGATAGCTGCCCCAACCTTCTTCAGCCTCCTAGAGCAGGGTAATGTACTATTACCATTTCCCAATCAGGAGAAAAGGCAAGCTGAGGCGCCCTTTTCAGTTCAACAGGGCCCTGGCTCACTAAACAGGCGCACTGTTTCCTGACCTAAATCAAATCATTTCTGCAGCACGACAGTGAGGAGGCGGCAGCCAAGTTCTCAGAGGCCCAGGTGAGGAACTCTGTGCCCTTTTCTGCCCACATCCCCGTGGGTGTGGCATTTTCATTCCACCCCCTCCTTGTGTTCTCGGGAGACAAATGAAGCTAGACGTGCCCCGCTCTACCCATCCGGAGCAACAAGGCGGCGGCGGCTGTTCCTCTGAGATAATCCCCTGCGCTCCCTGCCTTCACCTCGGCTGACGCAGGAGCTTCCGGAGCCTGCACTCCCATACATCCACCCTCCTCCGCCGCGAGGGTGCCAAGGCACCGAAGGCTCAGAGAAGCTACTCGTCCAAGGTCATCCAGCGAGGCGGTGCAAACAGCGAGGATGCAGGGGGAAGCGACACTGACCCCATCACGCCCCACCCCCCTTCATTGTATCACTCGTGCCTCGCGACGGCGCCCCGCGGGAAACACTCCTGCTGCACCAGCTAACGGTGACCCAGGTCCCCAGGACTTGACATTCCCCCGATGTGGTGCCAGGCAGTCCTTCAGACCCGGGCCCAAAAGCGGAGGCCCCGGCCCAAGTCCGCCTATCAGCGGGTGGGGTCCCAGGCACCGACTGCTTAGCACAGGGACGCGGAGAGGAGCGGAATCTCAGCAAGCGAGGCGGGACTGGGAGGCGGTGAGAGGAAGGGCAATCTCACCTTGCGGGGGAACCCTAGGAGTGGGCCGGACTCGGCAGGGCAGGGACAACAGCGACGGCGGCAGTGGCAGGGGAGACAGCGGCAGCCGGGGTTCAACGCAGAACACGAGGAAGGGAGCCCTGCACCGCGGCCGCCCGCCTCGCGGCACGCCCCCACCGCCGCCCATTGGTCGACGGGGGGGGGTCCAGGAGAAGGGCCGCTTCAGACCAATAAGCTGGCTCCAGAGAACCGCCAGCGATCTAGGAGGCACCTGTGTCACGTGAAGGGGGCGCTGCGGCTGCGCGCTGCGACTCCGTAGCTGCCTAGGACCCAGCGAGTTCTCGCGATGAAGGCTGCCAGGTCTCCAGTGGTAGTTAGGGGCCAGAATCCGACAGGCCAGAGCGAGGGGAGTGCCTCGGAAAGGCCCCGCCCCAGTGCCGCGGAAAGGCCCCGCCCCAGTGCCGCCTTTGCTGGGGGATTTGCACCTCCGGCCACCGCCTCAATTTGGGAGGGGCCTCCCTTGGGCCTTGCCCCCTCGCTTGGCCCTAAAACGCGGCTCAGGAAATAGGTGGAGCGCTGGAAGTTGCCCTTTCAGCCTAGTGTTTCACGATAGCTTCGAGCCACCCTAGTCCTGTCTACTAACTGACCAAACATCCCTTCTCTCTGTGACCCCAGGGTTTTGGCTTCTTCCCTTTCCACCGCATCCCCCTGCCTCAGAGAAAGTGCGCCTACGCCGACCCAAGACGCGTCCCGGGAGCCCCGCCTGGCCCAGATAAGCATCAGAACAAAGAAGGCATGGAGGATGGGGGTTGGGAGACCTTGTGCGGTTGCCCCCGGGGACCACAGGCTCTGCTCCCGGTCTCCTTGGAGGCGGTCGTCATGGCAGGGGGATGCGCCTAACTCAGCCCCGCGGGGTGAGATGGCACCTCCACAGAAGCAGGGAGCAAGAGGCATGCATGGCCCCGTGTCTTCAGAGGTTCTTGCCTCAGCTCCGCTAACAACCCCCATTTCCGCTGGTGGAGACAATTACCCCGAAGTGCGGGAGAGGGAGGAGTCCAGAGCACGCAGCTCCTTCTAACCTAACTAGGGGAAAGAGGACTTGGGCGGCCGAGGGCCCGCTTCTTTTCCAGTGGGCTGGGATCGCTGCCTTTGCAGTTACTCTCTGCTCTATCCCTGTGGCCCCTAACCCTGTCTCCTGGTCTCCAGTATGCACCCTGTTGGGAAATTAATCTTTCTGCGCCTGCTTTGCAAGCACAAGGTCCTGAGTTCGATCCCCGGTACCGCAAAAAAAAATTTTTTTTAATTAATCTTTCTGAACTTTCCATTGCTTCCTTCCCTTCCTCCGAAGCTCTCTATGCTACAAGACAGTCTCCAGCAGCGCTTCGCAAACTTTAGCAGCGTTTGGGGTAATTTGTGCGCTCTCTGGCGTTTTGAGAAGTCTGTCCGGCAGCATGGATATTGAGAACTTTCCACATTTTGATCCCAGCCCACCCAGTCCTACTCACTCGCTGTTTCCACCGTTCCATGCACCCCATTATCTACCGCGTTGGTAGACAGTGGGCCCAAAGTAGCTTGCAGATATATTTTGTAAAGTCCACATGAGGCTTTTAAACTCCACCCGCCACACACACTTCACAAAAGAATCTGATTTCCAGGTTTCTTTTGAAATACCAGATCTAACAACATGGACTCACATTCTACCCTGGCACCAAATGCTTACACTAAATGGTAGCTGCCTCTAGGAACACATCAATTTACCATAGTCCCCAAGAAACAAGCCCTGTTTCTTATGTTTATTTTATCATCTGGCTCTCTGCAGACAGACATTTCATTTCATGCATCTTTCCCCCTCATTATGCTACTTTCCCACCTGGAAAACTATCTCTGGTGTGGCTGTCTTAAACACAAACTAGCTGCTGGGGTCGGGGATTTAACTCAGTGGTTCCATCGCCTACCTTGAAAGCCCAAGGTCCCAAGTTCGATCCCTGGTACGAAAAAAAAAGAAAGAAAGAAAGTGCAAGTTCCTGAGTTTGATTCCTGGTACCAAAAAACCCCCACAAAACCACAAACTAGCTACTAATTGTCCACTGCCTCAGCCATTTCCTAATTGTCCACTCCTTTCAGAAAATATTTACTGAATGTATATGATGGGCAAGTTATTGTGGTAGGCTTTGTAGAGTAGAAGGCACCCACAGCTTGTTGTGAGAGGGACACCACACAAAAAAGAACTGTGGTTTCCTGTCCCTGTAAAAGATTCCTCACGTTTTTGGGGTTTTTTTGGTACCGGGGATCAAACTCGAGTCCTTGCACTTGCACAGCAGGCAGCAAAACCACTGAGCTAAATCCCCGGCCTGATTCCTCACACTCTTGACCCTGGTCAGTCTGGCTAACTGGGAGGACCTACAATACAGAGCTTCCCATGCTGGGGATACTGCATGTTCTCAGGGAAGGCCGAAAATGGTACCAGGAGATTGGTAAAAGTTAAAGGGCTACCCCACTGCTGTTCAGAAGACCTGTGAACCAAGAAGAGGGTGTGCCAATACCACAGATGCCTAAACTTCCTGTGCAAAGGGCCTTACAAAGCTAAATGACTAGTAAGAAAACCCACAGGCCCCTGCCAGCTTTCCTGCAGATGGGGGAAGTCTGGGAAAGAATTAAGAGCAACTCTAGGTTAGAACAGATGGAGCACATGACAAACACCCACTCCAGTTCCACATAGTATTCTGGACTGGGTTTTTTTTGTTGTTGTTTTTTTTAAAAGACTGGGTCTTGTGTACTTTAGGTTGAACTTGAACTCACTATGTAGCCCAGGCTGGCCTTGAACTCCTGGTGATCCTCCTGCCCCAGCTTCCCAAGTGCTAGGATTACAGGCCTATGTCACCATACTCAGCTTGGACTCATTTGTAATAACCTGAACCAAAAATAACCCAGATGGATGTCAACAATAAAATGAATAGATAAAATGTAGTGGTTTTTTTTGTTTTTTGAGACAGGGCATGATGGCACGTGCCTGTAATTCCAGCACTTGAGATACTGAGGCAGGAGGATCCTCTCGAGTTTGAGACCAGGCTGGGCTACATAGTGAGATCAAGGCCAGTTTAAACTACACAGCAAGACTCTGTCTCAAAAAAACAAAAATAAAGTGTTTTTTTAATTGAAAGTTTCGGTCCATGATTGGTGGGCCCCATTGCTTTGGGGCCTGGTGTGAGCTCCACGCTATGGCAACAGTGTGTGGTAAAGACATCACTACCTCATGGCCAGGATGCTAAAAAGAAAGAAGCTAGGATCCCACTGCCCTCTTTAGGGACACAACCCCAGTGACAAGAAGACCTCCCACTGGCACCTACCTCTTGAAGTTTTCACCAGCTCCTAATAATCCTACTCAGGGGACCAAGCCTTTAACATATGGGCCTTTGAGGACATTAAAATATAGTATATTTGTACAATATTGTGGGTCAATGACAACATCCTCCTGAATACATGGAACAACATAAATGATTCTTGCAGACAATATCAAGCAAAAGAAGCTAGACACAAAAATAATACAATATTTTTTTGGTGAGCATATGTATTTATTTAAGAATATATCTAGATTGGGCCAGGGATTTAGCTCAGTGGTTCTGGTGCCTGCCTCGCAAGCACAAGGTCCCAAGTTCAATCCCTGGTACCAAAAAAACCCAAAAAAGAATATATCTAGACTCGCAAGCACAAGGTCCTGAGTTCGATCCCCGGTACCAAAAAAAAAGAATATTTCTAGAAATGGAATTGCTGAAACATAGCCATGGTGGCTTTATCATGTGAACTGCATTTCTGAAATTCCCTTTCATGTGTGTTTCCAATTAGAGTGGATCACAGCAGACATTTTGCATGAGATTTGAGGAAAAGCAGCAGCAATACTGGATTTGACATTTTCGAGCTTGAAGGAGGAGCTTTGTAGCCCACCCACACTGTTGCTGATCTTCAGCTTACCTCATTGACATGGGGTAGCAGTTTGTCCTGCAAATGCCTCACCTCTCCCTGGAGCCTTCTTCACTTCTCTGGCTCCAGGGTCAAATGACAGGCAGCCAGCTTCTCTTGCCAGCTTCTCTCGCCCATCACCAAGATTAGAGGCAGTGAGTGCTGACATGAGTGCCAGTTTATCTTTGAGGCTTCCAGCTCATGCTCATGGATTCCAGTTTATTCTGTCCCCATCTTATGTCCATCTCCCCTTCCCAACTGCCTGACCTGTGAACTTTAAGCTGTACCATTAGATTCAAAAACTGTAACCTTACAGAGCCTGCTGAAGTAGCTCCCATAGTTACCTGAAGTCAAATCCCTGGCAGAAATCCCTTGAACTTCTCTGATTGAACCCTTACTAAAACTGACAGCATAGGCATGTATTTCATTTTACAAGAAACTGCCAAACTTTTCTGAAATAATTGTACTTATTTAAATTCCCATTAGCTGGGTGTAACAGTTCCCATTGCTTCATACCCTCACCAATATAAAAATCAGTAACTTTAAAAAGATAACCTACAGGGGGGCCAGAGATGTAGCTCAGTGGCACAGCGCCTGGTTGGCAAGCACAAGATCCTGAGTTCGATCCCTGGTACCAAAAAATAAATAACCCACAGTGTAAACCAACAAAGCAAAGCAACAGGCCACTAGTCTTCAGTCTCTGCTATAGACCATGCCCATAGGTGGGACAATTTCACAATATCAAGATTACAAATGTATGTATAATTTAACCTAGTGACCCTAGTTCTAGAATTTATCATGCAGATATACTTGTATACAATACTAAATTATTACTATATTAATATGAATATAGGTTATTCATTGTTCCATTATTAATACCAAAGTGAAAATCTCTCAAATGTCTAAAATTGAGAACTGATTAAATAAATTTGGTACAAACAATAGAATTTTGGGGTGCTAAAAAAAGCTGAATGTGGTGGTACACACCTATAATCCCCAAACACAGGAGCATGAGACAGGAGGATTATAAATTTGTGGCCACCTGGGCTACATGGTGAGACCCTGTCTCAAAACAAAAAAAGAAGACAAAACAAAACAAAAGCAGAGAAAAGGAAAAGAGAACGTTTTGAATGTACTGATTTAGGAAAGTCTTGTCTTAGGGTTCTCCAGAGAAAGAGAAGCAGAGGAAAGATTGAATTGGCTCACACAGTTATGGAGGCTGCCAAGTCTCAAGATCTGCAGAGTAAGTTGGAAGTTAGACCTGCGAAGGCCAATGGTTCAGTTCCAGTCCAAGTCCAAAAGCTGAAAACTAGGACACCTGATGGTATAATTCTAGTCCAAAGACTGGTAGGCTTGAGATCTTGCAAGAGCCAATGTTTTAGTTTGAGTTCAAAGACAGGAAAAAAGCTAATGTCCCAGTTCAAGAAGTAGTTTTCCCTTATTTGGGGGAGGGCCAGCATCTGATTGGATGAGAACCACCCACATGAGGGAGGGCAATCAGCTTTACTCGTCGGTGATTTAAATGTTAATATCATTTCAACACTCTTATGGAAACACCTAGAATAAAGCTTGATCAAATAACTGGGCACCCTGTTGTCCAATCAAATTGACACATAAAATTAATCACACCCGATCTACAAGAGATTTTATTGAGGAGAAAATGGAGCTGCAGAACAGAGTATGTAGTACGCAGCCCTTTATGTAAAAAGGCAGGAAATGGTAAAATAACAGTAAGTGTGCCTGTTTGCTTATATTTGTTCTTACTTTTTTTATTTTTAAAAACCTGCTGCTTTTTTTTTTTGGTGTTGGTGTTGGTGGTGTTAGAGATTGAACATAAGGCCTTGCATATGCTAGGCAAGCTGATGTATATTCCCAGCCTCTGCTGCTTTATTTACATAAAGGCCCTCTGGAATGATATACAAAAATTAAAGATAAAGGTTACCTATTAGAGAAGTGCAGGAAACAAGAAAACTTTTACTTTTTGTAGGGAATGGGAAAGGGGATGTTACCAGAACCCCTGCAGTGAGTCCTGACCTCCTATGAGCCACTACAACACAAAGCAAATTAAAGAATAAAGACAGGAAACAAGACTTAGAGAAGAAGCTGAGCTTTGGCCTCTGATCAGTACTGCTCTGGGCAGCAAAAACAAAGGCACCCAGAGCTTGCCACTGTTTATTGGGTTCATAGGGAGTATCAGATGACTCAGAGGACACCGATAATCCTAAATTGACAAGGATTTTATAATTGGAGAAAGTATCAGATGTCTCAGAAGGTGTCAGTAATCCTATGACCATGAGGATTTTATGCTGATGAGGATTTTAGGTTGATTGGGACAGTGAGATGAGCAAAAATGTTCTTAGGACAGTAGGTGGGATGAGTTACGCTGATAAGGAATTTGTCCCTCCCCAGGCGAAACCTTTCTACTTGGTTCTCAAACTCCCAGGATGTCTTCAGCTGATGTAATCTTGCCCTTGAGCATCACAGCATCATGGACTATTGAGGCCTCAGACAGCCCTAATCATAATTTAATTGTGAAATGATTTCTTTCCCAAAATTATATGGAATGGCTCCCAAAAACATTTTACGTGTGATTTAAAAAATCTTATATGGCTGGGCATGCTTATATACACCTGTAATCTTAGCACTTGGGGAGGCCAAGGACTGAGGATTGCAGGTTCAAATTACAATTGGGCAACTTACTGAGACCCTGTCTTAAAATAATAAATAAAAGAAAAGGGCTAGGATTGTAGCTCACTGGTAGAGTACCCCTGGGTTGTTCCCCCTTTACTGAAAAAAACAGGTATATGTTTAATGTGTTCAAAACATTAAATAACAAATTTTAAATACCCTTTACACACCTTTTTCTCTTGCAGGATTATAAGCATTCTTATATTTTATCTTTGTCTTACTGATATTTAGTAATAGGCACTCAATAAATATTTGGGAATTGGCTGGGTATAGTGGCCTATAATCCTAGCACTCTGGAAGTCTGAGGCAAGGAAGGCTGCCACTTCAGGCACAGCCTGGACAACTCAAATATTTAGCAAGATCCTGACTCAAAATAAATAAAAGAGGGCCAGGGATTTAGCTCAGTGGTTCTGCTGCCTGCCTCACAAGCACAAGGTCCTGAGTTTAATCCTTGGTACCAATAAATAAATAAATAAATAAATAAATAAATAATAAAAGGGCTAGAGATGTGGCTCAGTGAGAAAGTCCTGGGTAGTGAAAAAGGGGGAAGGTAATGAATGAATGAACCAGAGGAAATCAATTTGTAGGTGTTGTAGTCATGGTTTACAAAGGAATAGGTGTAATATAGGACACATAATTTATAGGATTATTTTATAATATTCACCCAAAAAGTCAAATGCAGAGGAGTGCAATGTTCCACACAAGTCCAGCTAAAAGCCTAGAGCCCAAGGCAATGTCCTCCATGAATTCAGCCAGAGGCCTATAGCCCATGGCAATGTCTCATGCAAGTCCTTATCAAGGATCTGTACTGGGAAGGCCCAAGGGCCAGTGGTGGCCTGTGCCGATGGGGTGAAGGATCCGTGGCACCAGGCTTAGGGTTCTGTACTGGAGCCAGGAAGCAACACGCAAAGTGAAGACCAGACCTCCTCTGATGAAAACAGCAGCCATTCCCAGTGACAGTGAGGACCCGAGCTCCTCCTCTGATGAGAACAGCCAGTTTGCATCAGGAAAACCCACCACGGCAAGCCTCCCCAGGAAAAATCGACAACATATGATCGGACTGTCCTCTCCAATTCTTTTTGTGCCATTGGCAACAATCCTCAGGTGGATCTTCCAAGCCCAGAACCATGCTGAGTCAGTTCAGCTGGACATTCCAAGTTGACCATTAGTTAATCCACCACAGTGAGGGTTAAAAAGAAAGAGGAGTGGGAAGTGGATGGAGAAATATAGAGATGGAGATATATGGCAGTAGCTATCCAAGGGAAATTTTGGGGAACAAGAGAAATGTCTAAAGAAGAGTTATACAGTTAGAATATATCTTCAAGGGCCAGGGATTTAGCTCAGTGGTTCCACCGCCTGCCTCTCAAGCGCAAGGTCCTGAGTTCGATCCCTGGTACAAAAAAGAATAGAATTTTGGGCCGGGGATTTAGCTCAGTGGTTTTGCCACCTGCTGCACAAGCACAAGGACCTGAGTTCGATCCCCAGTACCAAAAAAAAAAAAAAAAGAATATACCTTCATATTCCCAAGTAACAGTCAATAAAATTCTCCAGTTGCTTTTGGGGTTTGATTTGTAGGTTTGGGGGATATGATTGTGGGTTGGAGCAGTCAAGTATATCTAGATATCAGTAGTGGAGGGGCTCAAGAACCTCCAAGACCCAGCCCAGCCTCTGCCATGGAGAGGCTGATAGTTTCTAGGGGGACAACCCCAGACACTGGGCCTGTATTCTGGGTCCACTGTGCTTCTGCCAGGAGGAACCATACTCTACCCTACCTGCTGGTCCCCACACTCCTCCATAAGCCATTCAGAGGAGCCTACAGGTACAGTCAAGTGGGTGAAATTTTCAGAAAGCATAATTCTGGAGACCTACTGTGGTAGGCTATAAAGAGATAATGGCGGGCTAGGGATGTAGCTTAGTAGTAGAGTGCTTGCCTGGCATGCACAATGTCCTGGGCTCAATGCTCAGCAAACACAGGAGAGAAATAATGGTATTACAGCTGTGTGTGAGGGACTAAAGGTTAGATCTGTCATTTGTAGAAAAATGGATGCATCTTGAAACCATAATGTTAAGTGAAGTAAACTAGACACAGAAGCTTAAATATTACATGATTTCTTGTATGAGAAACCAAAAATATAAATAAAGAGCAAAATAAAGGATAGATAACAGGAAGTAGGGAGACAGATCTTTCTCAAAGGAGAAGGGGATCAAGAGTAGAAGAAATGGGAGGGAGAGGAGGGTAAGGGGATGAAAAAAGGAATTAAGATGTGTTATGTATGTGTACCAACTGCACACAAAGAATGTAAACATTACTTGTACTGCACACACATACTAATAAATTTTAAAATCTAAAAAGAAAGGTTGGATTGGGGCAGGCTGAAGCCAATGTTAACCTAAGACCAGGCCGAGCACAGGGATGGGACTCAGACCGCAGTAATAGTCACTACTTTTTATTTTCATTTATTATTGATTTTGTTTTTACAGTGCTGAGTATTGAACTTAGATACTGCATGCTAGACAAGTGCTCTACCACTGAGCTACATGCCCAGTCCTGAATATTTTTAATATTAAATTGGGCTAAATATAATCCTCAATTCATGACACTCCCTATTTGTCCAGAAACAACTCACATATGAAAATCCATAAACCAACCTACTTCAAGAGCTAAACAATTATAAATCACTCACACCAATTATAAATCACTCACACCAATTCAGGTGCTTCTTGCATCTCTCCCCCTTGCTGCTTCTCAGAAGGGAGTGGTATCTTTGACTTTATCCTTTCATTACAAGTAGGAAAAATGGCATCCTGATGCTCATACCTATGTGCACCCCCTTGAATGTGGGCTGGCCTGCTTCTTGTAAGCAGAATTCAGCAAACATAATGGGGTGTTACTTCCATGACTGCATCTTCCATCTTGCTAGCCCCTCCCTTTTTTTTTTCTTTTTTTTAAACTGGGGATTGAACCCAGGGTCTTCACACTGAAATGCATTCCCACCCTTTTTAAATTTTCTTTTTTATTTTGAGACAGGGCCCAAGTCACTAGGTTGCCCAGGCTGGGCTCAAACTTGCAATCCTTCTGCCTCAGTCTCCCAGAGTGCTGGGATTACAGGTCTGTGCCACCATACACACTCTTTACTCTTTCCCTCACTGGCTTTGAAGAATTAAGCTACTATTCTAGAGGTGGCCATAGAGCAAGGAAATGAGGGCAGCCACCAGCCAACAACCAGCAAAACACTGAAGCCCAACAGCCCACCAGAAACTAGATTCTGTCACCAATCACATGCGCATGACTCCTGCCCCAGCTGGCCCTGCAGATGGGACCACGGTTCTGGCTGACACTTCAGTGCACCTTTGGAAAAACCCTGAAGCAGAGGCCCCAGTGAAGCCAGCCTAGATTCCTTTTTTTTTTTTTTTTTTGGTACCGGGGATTGAACTCGGGTCCTTGCACTTGCGAGGCAGGTGGCGGAACCACTGAGCTAAATCTCCGGCCCCAGCCTAGATTCTTGACCCACAGAAAAAATGTGAGACAATAAGCACATGTTAATCTTCTAAATTGATGGTAATTTGTTACATAGTATTAGATAACTAAAACCGGTCCTTTTCAGATCTTTTGCTATTACAAAGGGTGACGCTATAACCACTGCTATAAACTGTTTCCCAGAACACAGAACACAGAGATGAAGTTTTCGCTGGTGTATATCTAAGAATGGAATTATTGAATCTCGGGATTTACAAATGTTCAACATTACTGGTAGCAAATCATCAGCATGAAGGTCATATAAGTTGTAGCCATAGCTTGTGTCTTGGTTTACGTTGGGAGGAAAACTTGGCCTCAGCCCATAGAACAGTGGGGGGCAGGGTTGGGAGTCATATAGGTCAAGTTAAAGGCTCAGTTCACCGGCACGGTTGAGGCAAGTGTGTGGCACAGTTGGACAGAATCTGAAGCTTGGATTTAGACAAGGTTGAAGGACACTGAGAAAGTGGCTTTGGGGTCAATCTAAACCAGGGTTCAAAGTCAAGTTCACAAAACCAGAGCCCTGGAGATATCATTAGTCTACCAAGCATCGAATACACATACCTACTGCCCACAAGATGAGACCCATTCCAAGCCAACAAGGATCTTTCAGCCAAGGGGGTAAGGGCTAGACAACAAAGAGGGGCAGAAACCCATTCCCTTCCGGATCCAGGCAAAAAGAGAAGGCAGGCACAGGAAAGAAAGCACACTGCCAGGGCTGGGGATTTAGCTCAGTGGTTCTGGTGCCTGCCTCGAAAGCGCAAGGTCTGGAGTTTGATCCCCGGTGCCAAAAAAAAAAAAAAGAAAGAAAGCACACTGCCACCTTTAATGGGGGTCACCCTGTCCCACGTCCCCCAGACACTCCCAACAGTACCCCACCGGGTGGGGAGGACGACTGCTGTAGGCACAGCAGATGTGTCCCCTATTCCATTCTTCACCCATTCCTTTCTGGCTGCTGCAGTCTCCATCCAGAAGAGAAGATGGCCCCAGGCGAGCCCCTTGGCTTCCTGGGGCAGCTTCTTGCACTGCACTTCGGAGGGGAGAAAGAACTAGCCTGGATAGAGACACCGATGTCCCCAGAGCTGGGCAGGGACTGTGATCTAGGGATGTGGACAGAACCAAGGGACCAAGGCCTAGGGAGCTACAAGGCAGGGCTCAGGGAAAGCTTTGGTTCTCCTGGCCTGGATGGAGTGTACTGAGGTGGTTCAGCCGGAGGGAGTGGTGGAGCAGGGGAGGCCAGCCTTTTGAGCATTGGCTCTGCGCTCCCTGCAAAGTGTCTACAGGTAGGTGGCTGTGTGTCCTGGCTTCTGGGCTCCTATGTGGCCCACCGCTCACTGGGGCTTGCGCTCGGCCTGCTGGAGGCGCCGGGACAGGTCCTCAATGCGAACATTCTTGAGCTGGAGCAGATGCTCCAGGCGCCTCACCTTCATCTGCAGGACCTGGGCAGTGTAGCACAGACAACATGCCCTGAGGCCCACTGCGCTACCCCTGCCTCTGCAGCCCCTAGGCTCCAGAGCCTCCCCAGTGCACCCTCACCTGCACCGTCTCCTGTGAGGCCAGCAGCTCCTGCTCTTTTTCGGCGATCTGGAGCACAAAGCTTGGGTCGCTCTGCTGGGCCTGGTTATACCCAGGAGGCCGGGCCACCAGCTGCCCACCCCCTCTGTGGTGCAAAGCAGTTTAGTGGAGGCCTGGACCTCGGGCCCCACTCCCATGCTTCCAGTGCCCTCTCCCAGGCCTTCCTTCTGTTTCTCCCCTGTCCCTCCTCCCTACATTCCCACCCACCCCCAGGCTGCCATGGGGGTTACTAAACCTGGCAAAGTCAGGAACACCCAGCTTCTTTACCTGAGCTGTCCTCCTCCCTGGGGGTCCAGGACACCTTCCCCTCGGGCCTTCTGGGACAAACCTGAGATAAGGCAAGTAGAGGAATGACCTTACTGGAATTCCATTCTCCAGCATAGGACAGGAGGAAAGCTTGTCCTGGGAGGGAGATAGGGAAATGCTTACCCACATCCATGTAGCCACTGCCATCCTGAGGAGCCAGCTCCTGAAAGAACCCCCGTGGTACACTGTGAGCCTGGGCCCACCCATCCTCAAGGAGTCCCATGTCCCTTCCGCATGCCCCAGGGCAGGCTCTCTTGGCCAGGCACCCCTGCCCCATGCACACTGCCAAGGCCCAGGCTTCCTGATGCCTGGGAAGCCCTCCTGGGTAAGGGAGAGGCTGGAGCCCAGTGGCACCTGTAAGGAGCCAGCACCCTGCTTCCTGCGCTTCTGCCGCTCCTCCAGGCGCTGCCGCAGCGGGATAAGCACCAACTCCACCACACCTGGGACACACTGCGCAATCTTGCGCATCACATCATCTGGTACCAAGATGTTCAGCTTGTTCAGCACCTTCCTATGGGGTAGACAAAGGGGTGGCAGACTGGGTTCTATGGGGACTAAAGTGAGAGCCAGGGCCAAAAAGGAAAGGGTCATGATCCTGAGTGCATTGCCCTTGAGGAGAGGAAAGGTAGGTATCTAAGCCCTCCTGCTTGGATGTCCCAAGCTTCCTTGTCTCCTTCCCAATAGAAGAGGTCTTTAATTTTGTTACCAGATGGATTCTGTCTGTATTGGCCTCCCATCCTGCCACCAACACTGTCCCAGCTTGGGCAGTGAAGACTACAGGAGTTGAAGTGACAGGGGCAGGCCTTCCTGGGAAACCCACTCCCCTTCCTGGGTATTCTGCTACCTGTTCAGGTGACTCCAGTTGCTGAGCTTCTGCTGGAGGGAGTTGGCAGGGACATAATTGTGCATTTCCACCATCTTGGGGAAGTAAAACTTGATGATCTCTGCAACCAGGACTGAGGGAGTGGAGGGTAAGGGTGAGGATGGGAGAAGAGACAGGTGGGAGATGCAGCACAGTGGTGGAACCCAGCAGAGAGGTAGAGATGTAGCAGGGGGAACGATGATTGAAAGAGACAGAGAACATGAGATCAGTGATCAGACTAAGATCCGGCATAAACCAGAGGAGGTACTTCCCTTCCCCATTAATTCAAGCATAGGAAAACTGAGAATGAGTCTCCAGGAGAGCCCTTCTGGAGCCTGGAGCCTCACCCTAGGAATTCATATGGACACACACACACACACTAACACTAAAGTGCCAGGAGTCACAGACACACACAGAGACACATGATAATATTCCTGTACAGGTGTACACATAGGGCACAATGTGTAGACATGCAGGCCAAACCATGCGAGATACACATAGGTGCATGTTTAGAACACATACACAAGCAGAGTCACATATGGATGCAGTCTCCTCAAATACACATATACAGAAATGAAGAAATGGATACTTCTGTCATTGAATTACCAGGACACATTCGTGAATTTGAAGCTTACAGAATCACAAGAAACACATATGCACACAAGATCCCCCAAATACATTCAGAACAGAACGTGTCAACACACATATGAACACACTCATTCTCAGACTCCTACGAGACAGACATATAGAACACATAGCAGTGAGCAAGCACATACAAAGATGCACACACAAACATCTTCATAATTAAAGTCCCTGGAGGTAAACACACACACACCCCACACGCACACAGTATAGAACATGTAGACTGCTCACAGACACTGTTCATATACAGATACAAACAGAAAACACACACAAACACACGCTTCCACCATTGAAGTCCTAGGAGACAGGCCCCCCCCAACAAAAAGATGGTGTACACACCCCTTACACACGCACATACAAGACAGAATATGCAGAAACACATGGGAGCCCACACCTCCGTCGCTGAAGTCGCGGGAGAGATTTCGTTTGGGTCGGGACAGAGGGATGTTGTCTACCCACAAGTACAGCTGGTGCAGCGCCTCTTCGTCCATGCTGCTAGCCATTAGTGTCCTTGGCAAAGGTAGGCCGTTCCAGCCGTGCAGCTTCCAGCTTCAGCCTTACGACCCCTCAAACACCTCCTTTCTCGCCACTGGGGGAATCCAGAGTTCTCTGCCTTCCTAACCTGGAGACTCACGTCCCATCTGGGAGCAGCCATATTGTTTTCTGAAACCATGGCAACCACCGCTACTTGCCCTGAAGCAGGGGCTTCTGGGAGATGTAGTTTCCCCGTGCTACTTTTTTCTGGGCCTCGGCTTTGAAAAAGCAGTTAGGCGTCCTTACCATCCTCTCCTCTCCAAGAAGGCATCACCTCTGACCTCATGACACCTGCTGACCAGCCATTGACCCACTGTGGGATGGGCCAAAGCCAATCAGCCCCCCCTAAACTCATGCACTGGCATCAACAGGGCTGGGGTCACCCTTCTGTACACTTTAGCTGTCAGTCTTAAATAAAGGCAGCATCCCCATGTTTGTCAGCTTTACCTGGAGGTCCATTGCTAATAATCTGCTACCATCCGGGCTGTATGATATGGTGTATGGGAGTGCTTCCTTGCTGACTCCCTCCTCAAAGCTCTGTACTCATACTGCCAACGTCACAGCCCATTTCAATATCTTGCTGGGCCATTTAATATGTAACCAACTCCCAGACAGAGTACGAGTTCAAGGCCAGCAACTCCGGCAGGTTATTTAACTCCTCAGCTCTATTTCCTCCTTTGTGAAGTGGGAACAGTTCTCTCCTACTTGTCCCAATGAGGTAATGGAAAATAAATTACAAAACAGAAAAATGATATTTACATAAGACCTGTATTTGTATGGGAACAGGGGGGAATGGAAGTTAGTTATGGACACAGAAGAGCTCCTGCAGACACACAGTCATCCTCCTCCAAAGAGCTGTTCTACTATGGACTAGAAATTGATTTCCTCCATTTCAAAACAGAACTACCCTTAGGAGCGTTAGGAATATGGGTCCCTCCTCAGTGAAGAAGTACAGAGTAGCAGTAATGGGATACTTACAGGGTCAACCTAGGGAGAAAGCTTGCTTCCAATACAGACTAATAATTGGCTTTGGGCACATCACTGAACCTGTGCCTGTTTGTCATGGTTTCTCTGACTTGTAGGGGCACTGTAAGTAATTTCTGAAGTAATTAGAGCCTGGTTCATAGCAAGGGCTCTATCAGCTTCAGCTGGTGTAACATCCGTGAGATCATCTCAGCTCCAGGAAGAGGTGCTCTTGTTGCCAAGGGACACATGGAAGTGTTTGGCTTGTTGGTACTGGAGGTGAAGGGCCTGGGTTGGCCAGGGGGACCTAAAAAGAAGGCCACTTCCTCCTTACTCCAGAACAGGCCCAAGGGATAGGCTGGGCTTCCTTTTGGCTTTCTGATCTCCACCTCAAGCTCAGATTGGGGGAGGGGGTGATAGCAAGGGGAATCCTGACTCCTTTTTGTACTCCCTGTTTCCAAGGCCTTGAGGGCCTAGAGGGGATCCCCCAGTGCCTGAAGTGCAGAAGGCCAGGAGTGGAAGTTACCCCACCTTCTTGTTTTAAAATCACCCATGGTGGCCCTTTCTGGAAGGGACCACACACAGTGCAGGCAAGGGACAAAAGATGATTTGGGTATCCCCTACCCCCTAACATTCCAGGGTGGGGAGAGGAGGAACTTCATGGTGTGGTGGTGGTGGGGCAGCAGTTGGGAACTACAGAAGTGATGTGCCAGCCCCAGACAGGGTAGGAAAACCGGTTTGGGGCCCAGAGCTGCCGCTGGGGCGCTGGGGCCTGAAAGCCTCAGCAAAGGAAAGTTACTTAAGGAGTGGTTGGGCCCTGAAAGAAAAAGACAGGAGGAGCAAAGGGCAGTCCTCAACTTTGGACTGGGGAGCCCCTGGAAGGCACTGCCTGGGGAGCTACCAACTCATCCTCAGGCTCTTGGTGGGTATAATCTCTTCTCAGCAACTTCATCTTCCTCCTGCCATTTATCCTCAAGGGAGGCCACCAGGCTTGGAGATGCTAATCAATGAAAGGCCTAAAGGGCTCCCATTAAGGCACCAGAGGTAAACCCAAAGGTGCCCTATCTTCCCTTCCAAATTCTAACATGTACCAGAGCTTTCTCAACACCCTTTCGTCCTGGCCCAGCTTTCTTAGCCAGCCTGGCTGGGGTGGGGCTATTCCTCTGGTGCCTATTGCCTGATTTAGCCCAACAGACTGCAGTATCCGTCACTGCCCCAGTCAAGTGACCCCCAAGCTCCTTTCTAACCCCAGCATGGCTAGACTTCCTCAAATTGACCCATTCCTCCCCACTCCTCCATAAACATTTAGATGTGGATGTTGAGGACTTCCTCTGCCCCTCAACCCAGTCAGGGCCACCCTCTCAACCCTTGCTTCCATGTCCCACCAGTGCAAGGACCAAAGGGAACCGGGAAAGGACATGTTCCCCAAGTCAGACGCAAGCCCAGACCATGAAGGATGCACCCTTGGCTGTTAAAACGTTCACTCCCACAAAAGGGGAGTGGACAGATTTATTGAATTCAAACTGGGAAAGGAGCAGCTGGACAGCTGGACTCTGCGCCCAGCCCCAGGCCCCTCTGCCCAGGATGGGGCCCTGCCAGAGAGGAATGAGAGGCACAGGGCCTGCAGCTGCCCAAGAGGGAGGCGCCATTGTCACTCCCATGGAGGGCCTCTTGGAAACCTCCAATCTGGAAAGAAAACCAAGGGCCAAAGTCACACAGATGGGCCAGAGAAAGGAGCTGGGGAGATGGAAAGCAAGCAGAGGTGGGCTCAGGAGCCCACCGTGAGTTAGACTGTGCTTCTCAAGGTGGCCTGGGGTGGGGTGGGGGGCTGCCAGCCTTGTGGGGGCCTAGGCTGGACCTTGCTCTGAAGCCCTTCCCAGAATGGCTTTGGGGTCCCCCCACCAAAGACCTGGTGTGGACGGCAGGGGGAGAGGCACTCTCTGGCCGGGAGCTTTCAGGGCTACCCCTGGCCGCTGCTGTGGTCTAGTCCACCGAGGGCATGGTGTGGTAGCACCGGACAGCTCCCCACCCACCCCACCTGTTCCCCTGAGCCCAGGGGCAAATGGGGAGGAAAGAGGATTCTGAGAAAGAGGCAATAAGCAGGCAGCGAGGCAGACCTCAGCCCCTGGGCCTGTCTCAAGGCCAGGGGAAGCATTAGTAAAGGCCCTGGGGCTCCCCCATCTGGCTCCATCCCAGAGAGTTCTCTGCCCTGGGCTGATGCTGCCCATTTGGGTCATGGGTGCAGCTACGCTCAGAGGCTCAGCTTTGATGTCCAAGACCCCGAACTCCTGCCTGCCTGGCATGGTTCTTCCTAGTCACGTGGACCAGATCATGTTCCAGGTGGAGGATGTGGCTCTGTACACGGTCATCAATGGGGAAGGAGGTCAGGTACCTCTTGACCATGGCGAAGTAAGCCATTGCCTCCCCAAAGCTGGGTACAGGCACCTCATCACCATCATCGTCATCTTCTTCATCATCATCTTCCTCATCATCCTCATCTTCTTCCTCTTCCTCACTGTCTGACTCAGAGTCCTCCCCACCTTCCAGGAAATGGAGGGTAGGACACTGGGCCTCCTCCTGGGTACTGTAACCCCCAAAGCTGCCACCAGCCTCCACTACTCCCTGGGCCCAGTCCTCAGCCTCCAAGCCCTCAGAGGAGCTCTCCTCCTCCTCTTCCTCCTCCTCCTCTTCTTCTCCCTCACTCTTCAGGGAGGTGGTGATGGTAGCATTAGGGCCACCCCCGAAGCCAGCCTCCCGAAAGCAAGTGGCAATGTCCGAAGGCTCCACTGCCTGCCAGGCTGCAGCCACGAAATGCAGAGCCTCCATGAGGCCCAGCTGTAGGCCTGAGCGATCCTGGCCCTCCAGGGCCGCCATGGCCTTGAGGAGCATGGCCTGGCGGTAGTGGCCCTTCACCTGTTGAACTACTCCCCGCTCCAACGGATGCACAGTGCCCGGAGGGAAGAAGGCCAGCTGCACATGCCGTAGGCCTGAAGTGTCCAGGGACTGGGCAGCCAAGCGGCCGGCCAGCAGCAAGACCCGGCGGGACTCTGCAGCCATTCGGGTGTCCAGAGCCTTCAAGTACTTGGCCAGAGCCTGGGTGGTGACACCTCCCTTCGAGTTGGCAGTGTAGTCGCAGGGAAGGCCGCCTTGGCCTGCACGGGGCTTGGCGGACTTGCCAGCCACCAATGGGGGCAGCTTTTCGCTGCCGTCGGCGTTGGCACATAGCAAGACACTCAGGCGCTGGGTGGCTTGGCGCGCCCTTCCATCGCCTCCGCAGAGCCCCGCAGCTTGGTCGGGCAGAAAGTCGTACCACAGACTGGTCTCGGTGGCGCTGAACACGTCCTGCGAGGCGTAGCCCTCGGCCACCGAGGGTGGCTGCTCTTCGCTTGCGTGCCAGGTAGGTGCGCTCCCACTACTGCCCTCGGGGGGCACCGCGGCTGGGCTGGCAGGTGCCGCTGGGGCCCTGGGGGCAGAGTTGCGGCCCCGGGCACGCGTCACGCCGCTGCAGGACACCACACCGTGGCGCCGGCGGAAGCGGTCCAGCCAGCCGTTGGAGGCAGTGAAGTCGTCCATGCCCAGCTCCTCGGCTATCCGGAGCGCCTTCTCCTTTAGGATGATGCCCTTGACGGGAAGGCCCGCGGCACGGATCTGCTGGAACCAGGCGATGAGCAATCCCTCGAGCTTGTCGTAAGGGGACAGCTTGTTGGTCTTGCGGCAGGTGGAGGCCACACCGTACTTGCGCTCCGACGCCAGGATGGCGCGCTTGTTCTTCAGGATGGTGCTCAGCGTGGACGGCGGGATGTTGAAGCGCCGTGCGATCTCGCCTTTGCGGAGGTCCGGATTCTCCTCCACCTCCTGGATGATTCTCGACTTCTCCCGGAACGTCAGCTGCCGCCGCTTGGGGCCCATCCCGGCGCGCCCCCCGCCCCGGGGCCCGGCACCACCGCCGCCGCCCCGGGGCGGGGGGCCCGGGCCCGCGGCGGGGGGCACCTGGCGGCCTCTCCTGCGCGCCCCGCCCGAGACAAAGCGGCTCGTGGGCTGACGCGCGGGGCGGCGACCCGAGGGCACCTCCTGGGGCGGAGCCGGGAAGCGGGCGGCAGTCGGCGGGAACGGGAGAGGACGGCGGCGAGGCGCGGAAGGCAGGAAGTGCCGCGGCGCAGGGAGCTGGGAGCGCGGCGCGCGGGGCGGAGCGGGCGGAGCGGGATCTCGCGGGAAGCTCGGGGACGCCCGGCACCGCCTCCCGGTCCTGCGCGCCCACCCCCTTCCTGCAGCCGCGGACCGGCCACCGGGGGCGCTGCGGCCCGCCCGACCGGCCAGGGACGCGGGCTGCCACCGCCTCGCCAGGTGGGCCGTGATCTACCGCAGGAAAAGAACCACCATCTTCATTTTCCGTTTTTCCTTCTTTTTTCTTTTCTTTTTAAAAAGAGATTTAAGGTAAAATTAACCCACGTTTTTGCAGCAACTGACAAAAAAACAACAACCAAAAAATAGAAGCTAAGAATCGCCTTCCACGCCAGCACCTGGAGAGAGCACAGGTAACATGTTGATGCATTTCCTTCCAGTCTGTTCTCTAGGCGCAGGCAGTTTTCTCTTTTAAAATGTATGAAACTGGCGTCGGGCTGCTCTATGTCTGGTGTCGCCTATTTTATCTGGCATCGAGTGATTAGAATTGTACCATATTGGTAAATGTCATTGCCAGTGTGCTTTTTAAAGGTTGTATATTGTTCCAAGTGTGGATGAACTGTAATCTATGTAAGCTGTTGGTACACATCTAGTTTATTTGTATAGATGACGCTGTACACGTGGTTTTAAATGTATTGATGGTGCTAATGACATTTTAAAAGTTTTAGTGATTTCACATTCTGAACACTGATAACATCTCAATGTGTTACTGAGTTTTTATGTGTGTATAACCATAAATGCATGTGTTTGTACCTATAGAAATAACATCATGCATATACATAAGCATGTATACACATAAATCTTTAAAACTCCCCTAACACCAAACAGAAACCATCAGGGGTTTTTTTTGGTTTTGTTTTTGGGGGTTTTTTTGATACCGGGGATTGAATTTAGGACCTTGCGCTTGCAAGGCAGGCGCCAGAACCACTGAGCTCAATTCCCGGCCCTAGAAACCATCAGTTCTTATAGCAACGAATGCGCTGCAGTATTTTCAAAAGTCTCGAAGAGTAGCAACCCAGGGAGACAGGTTGAGAATGTGAGGCTAGAGAAAGCTTCAAGTGAATGAGTGTACACAAACAAGAGGACCAAGGATGGTACCCGGGGTGCTCCAAGGTTAAGGGCTCAAGAAAGGCCTAGCAGGGCTGGGTATTTAACTCAGTGGTTTCACCATCTGCTGCACAAGCGCAAAGACCTGAGTTCGATCCCCGGTACAAAAAAAAAAAAAAAAAAACACAAAAAAAAATAAAAAAGAAAAGAAAAGAAAGGCCTAGCAATAGCCTTTGAGGAGCACCTGAAGCCTTGGGGAAACCAGCCCAGTGTGGTGTTCTGGAAGCTAAGGGAGCAAAGTGCAACTCACTGCCATTTTAGTGTGCGTTTCTCTTTTCACATGTTTATCAGCCATTTGAATCCTGTGGATTTTCTAGTCTTGTATTTTGCCTATGTTACTCTTGTGTTTCTTTTCTTTTGTTGGAAACAGGGTCTTGCTGTGTAGTTCAAGCTGACCTTGAACTCACTATGTAGCCCAGGCTGGCTTCAGACTCACTGCAATCCTCTTGCCTCCTGAGTGCTGGGACTATAGGTGTGCACCACCACATCCAGCTCTTGAGTTTCTTTTTTCTTTTCTTTTCTTTTCTTTCTTTCTTTCTTTTCTTTCTCTCCCTCCCCCCTTTTTCTTTCTTTCTTTCTTTTTCTTTCTTTCTTTTTTTCTTTCATTTTTGTGAGATCAAGCTGAGGGACTTGTGTATGCTGAGCACACACTACCACAGGGCTACACCCCCAGCCTCTTTTTCTTGGCTTTTAGGAGCTCTTCATATCATATGAACATAATTTTTTGTTGTTCCCAGTCTGCCACTTGTCCTTTAACTGAGTTTAGAGTATCTTTTAGATATGAGAACTCTGTAGCCCTCAAGTAGGTGGCTCTGTCCATTTTTCCCTTATTGTTTCTGTTTTACTACACTTGATCTTAGCCAAAAGGCCGAGAAGCGATGTTTCTGAGTTTTGTATCTTACTTAGGAGAGGCCTTTCCTACCCATGAAATATAAAATGTATTATTCTAATCTTAAGACCCAGAAGAAAATGTAGGAATCTTTTTTCTGTAAAGGCCACATCCATGCTTGTCCCAAGATGGGTGTGTGGGTGCTGTGCCAAGGTGAATATGAGACCACTTGGCAGAGGAACCTTCTGTGCCTCCTCAGGAAACCAGGTCTGCATATTTGAATAGACTATGATGGACTATTTTCCCCTTCTTTGGTGAATTTTTAAAGTTTTCTTTAATAAGTGCCATGGGCCCTTTATAATGGAAAGGGGGAGGGTAATAAAATGAACAAGAGAATGGAAAGCTTCCTGATGGGCATGAAGGACAGTGTTAGGTAGGTGGGATGGGTATGAGGTCTGTTGAGAAGGCGGACTGTGAATTTCCTTAACTGATCTATCAGAAGGGTGTGAGGCATCCCAGAACCTCACAGTGATGGTGGGAAAGAGGTCGTTTCACTGCAATGGGCACTGTGCACTGCTATAGGCAGCAGGTAAACCAAAGATCTGGAAATGGCTGTATGAAGCAGCACATGTGCATGTTTTCTTTTCTGTGCTAGAAGTGACTGTGCCAGTGCTGTCCATGTTGTGGCACCAGGCAGGGGCCTGGAAGTAGAAGACACTGTGGGTATGTTGATGGGGGATGGGGCAGATGATGTTAGCAAGACAGTGGGTATCCAGCCACTGGGGACATCCTTAGAGTTCACAAAGTATTTCAGAGTCAAGAGTCCCAAAAGAAATATCTCAGCTCTTCCCTAAGCCCTCATAGAACATACCCTTTCAAAAAAGCTTTATTAAGCTGTGCATGGTTGCACACAGCTTTGATATAAGCACCCCAGAGACTTAGGCAGAAGTATCACTGTGAGTTCAAGGCCAGCCTGGGCTACACAGTGAATTTTTTAAAAAATTCTTTTATTGGTACATTTTAGGTATACAATATGTTTACATTTATCATTGGGTGTTTGTACCTGAACATGATGTATCTTAGTTCTGATTTTTTCCCCCATTACCTGTGCGCCCTTCACCCCCTCCACCCTTCCCTATTTACATAGACTTTGTTTCCTTTTTTTTTTCTTTTCTCTTAATTTTTCCTTTCCCTTCTTCCCTTTCCCCTTCCCCTCCCACCACCCCTACACCTTTGGACCTTTTCCTATTTCAAATTATCAGTTATTCATTTTAATCATTTTAATCCTTGTTTACACTTTCAGTTTCTCACACTAGAGAAACTATTTGGTATTTACACATGTGTGTCCTATTTATTTCACTTAAGAGTATGGTCTCAATGTGCATCCATGTAGCTATAAATGTCTCTAGTTGATCATTCTTTATGGCTGAGTAGTATTCCATGTTATAAAAAAAACACATCTTCTTTATCCAGTTTCCAGTTGATGGGCACTTGTGCTATTTCCAAGCTTTAGCTATTACAAACTGTGGTGCTATAAACATGGGTGCACATATATCTCTGTGGTATGATTCTTTTAATTCTTTGGGGAAGATACCCAGCAGGGGAATAGCTGGGTCAAATGGGACCGCTAGTCCTAGTTCTCTGAGGTGTCTCCATACTGACTTCCACAGTGGTTGCACCAGTCTGCACTCACACCAACAATGGAGAAGGGTTCCTTTCTCTCCACACCCTCACCAGCATTTGTTATTGGTTGATTTCTTGATAGCAGCCATTCTTTCTGGGGTGAGGTGGAATCTCAGTGTTGTTTTCATCTGCATCTCTCAAATGACCATTGATGTTGAACATTTTTTTCATATATTTATTTGCTGCTTTTACTTCTTTGTCTGAGAAATGTCTGTTCATTTTGGATGCCCATTTTTGAATTGGGTCTTTGAATTTGGGGGGTCTGATTTTTTTCAATTCTTTATATATTCTTGATAGTAGACCTTTGTCTGAGGTACAGCTGCTAAAAATTTCTTCCCACATTGTAGGTTGTCTCTTAGCTCTGTTGGGTTTCTCTTGCATTGCAGAAGCTTTTTAATATGATGAGATCCCAGTTGTTGATTCTTTGTGCTAGCTCCCATGCTACTGAGGTTTTGTTCATAAAGTCTTTTCCTATGCCAATGTCATCAAGAGTTCTACCTAATTTATCTTCCAGGAAGTTTAGTGTTTCTGTCTTAATATTTAGATCTTTAATCCACTTTGATCTTAGTTTAGTGCACGGTGATAGATATGGGTCTAGTTTTAATCTTTGGCAGATTGAAATCCAGCTTTTCCAACACCATTTATTAAATAGGCTATCTTTCCTCCAATGAGGGTGGTTGGCTCCTTTGTCAAAGATGAGGTGGCTGAGTATGTCTGGAGTTCTTTCTGCATCTTCTAATCTATTCCACTGATCCTCTGGTCTGTTTCTTTGCCAGTACCATGCTGGTTTTTTTTGGGGGGGTACTGGGGATTCAGCTCAGGTCCTTGCGCTTGCACAGCAAGCGGCGAAGCCACTGAGCTAAATCCACAGCCCCTCCATGCTGTTTTTATCACAGTAGCTTTGTAGTATAGTTTCAAATTGGAGATTGTGATACTCCCAGCCATGTCTCTGTTGCCTAGAATTGCTTTTGCTATTCTAGGTTTCTTCTGATTCCAAATGAATTTTTGGATTGTTTTCTGTAGTTCTATGAAGTATATTGTTGGAATTTCAATTGGCATTGCATTAAATCTATATAGCAGTTTTGGAAGTATGGCCATTTTCACTATATTGGTTCTTGCTACCTAGGAACAAGGGATGTCTTTC